GTTTTGAAGGTGACTGTTGTTTGACCTTGTTCTGTTTGGACATTGGAAGCTGACGAACTAAGGATCAGTATGTACAGTGACCCTGGTTGACACCTTGCATCTTTTGCTCATTGGTCTTGGGTGACAGCTCTTCATGCTCTTGAGTCAGTGTGTGCGTTAGCACTATAATTCACTCCATACATCTTGAAAGGGAACTAAGAGAACTTGCTTACAGGGGGATCTGTTTTTTGAAGTGATGCAATCCTATTCTGCAAGGGTGGCCTGAAGTGTAATTGGCTTGTAGGTAAGTATTAAAGACTGGATGACATAGATGAAGTTAATTTGCATCACAAAAATAGTTACTGTTTTATGAGGCATGAAGGATTTACCCACAGATTTTTTTTAATAAACTGAGGATTTTAGTTGTTCTATGCTTGTCTTGTGGCCATAGTAATCTCTGTTCTGCACTTAAATGTAATATTGCTATATCTTTGTCTCAGATGAGTTTTTTTAATGGTATAGCCACCATATGACATTAAAAGCATTTGCAGCTACCTTGATATGGCAGCGTTGTATGTCAATGCAATTTGTTCTTTTTTGCAGATGTTTTATAGCTGTATGTCTGCACTAACAATGTCCTTGCAGTATCTTAAGTGGCGCAAGTAATAAGCCCTTCCCTCTATCTGTTAAGTCCCTGTCTGTGCTGCAGATTCCTGCCCTCATAGCTAGATTGGGTAAGGATTGTTGGTCAAAGATAACATTTTTCATATGGCTGAATTAGCAAAAGACACAAGCATAGAAGCAGTTATAGTGAACAGTAAACATGTAGTTCTACTTGTTTTAAGTCTGAAGGCTGGTTTTAACTATGCTGCTAGAAAGCACAGCCTTGCTAGATTGCTTCGTTCGTTCCAGGAGCACTTTAGTAGTAAATAATACCTATATTCTTGATAGCAGTGAGGTGCTGATAGCTGTAAATTATGACAGAAAATGTCCACATTGGAGGATTTTTTAATTTACATTATCTACTACTAATACCTTGCAAAACCTTACTAGATGTATTACACACCCTGGTTTGTATTACACACCCTTGGTTTGTATTACAAACCAAGTTTTTTTTTTTTTTTTTTTTTTTTTTGTGTAGCTCTATAAAAGATTTGTGTTACAAAGTTTCTGGCATAGCTGTGAGTGCTAAGAGGAATGCTAAAAAATAAAATCCGTGAGGATTTAGCTATGCTAGCAAAATACTCACACAAAATACTCCTTTTGCCAGGATTGCCTGTGTCTTTTGGGGACAGAGGTAGACACAAGCTGGCAGAAGAACTCGGTTATCTCTTCTGTGGGAATTTTGTTGTTGTACATAAATGCAGAGTAAACCAGTCCAAGGTCTAAGAAAAACTCCTCGTGATGCTGAAAAATATGAAACACTAAACAGATGCAACTGCGTCTGTGAAAGCTTTGAGTCCTAAGGGAACAAAGACTTGGGTTCACAGTCTAAGAAGTTTGAGACAGAGATCCGATAGATTCTTTTTTTGTGCACAAACCAAACTCATTTTCATGAGTGACTCACTGTCTTTGTTGATGATATTCATAACATTTCAAGGGACCTTAAAATTAGGTTAGCTTTTGGCCTAAGTGTGGTTTGATCTCAACCAATCCTGCCGCTGATCAACTATTGCTTAGCACTTCAAGTTGCAAAAAAGTATGCCTTTTTTTTTTTTTTGCTTTTTCTAGGGAGTAGCTTTCTTGTGCTTCTGCTAGGTGACTGAGAAGAGCCTGACACTTCCAGGAAATTATTATCTATAGCAGAAGTCTTGCTTATGTCAGTTATTGATAAGTGAGAAAGTAAACATCTGGCTGATTAGGCACTGCACTTTCAGTGGCTTACCACTAGGCTGTTTTCATTTCTGTTTTTCACAGCACATGGTGGTCTTGCAAAAAAAAAAAAAAAAAAAGTACTACCCTTTATTAATTTCTTAAATTATTTTTTACTGTATGGCTTTGGTAGACAGTTATCTACTTTTTGCTCCTTTGTAAAAGTAGATAACTCCTAATGTAAAAGTATTTTTGTTTACAAATTTCACTTGCATTAAAGATAATTTCTAGTCTTGCTGGAAATGCTTTCAATTTAAGAAGTGTGTGACCAACTGTATTAACCTCTAATGAATATCAAAAGGGAGCCTTCTCATACCCAAACAGACATTCTCTATTTGCTGACTGTGAGATATTTGTATTAAATAGCAGTAATGAAAACACAGGGCTGAAGAAAGGAAGTTTATAGAGGCCAGGGCAGATGTGAACTCTGCAATCAGTTGTTTTGGTAGAAGGCATCACCGTTCTCCTTTAGAGATCTCTTGTCAGAACTGTTTATGTGAGCTCTCCCTATCCAACTTCCAAGAAAATAGCTGTTTTAGAATAAACACTTGAAACAGTAGTCTTTGCTAAGCTAACATTTTTAGACTGAAATAGGATTAAGGGAAGTTCCACAGAGTAATGATCATTGTACGTTGTCGTGGTCTTTCGTGGGCAAACTATGTCCAGAAGTCAGTCCATGAGTTTGACTCTTTTGATTTTATAATTTTGAAAATAATATTTTTGTAATTCTGTTTAGGCTTGAAATAATCTAAAGGTATCTTCTAGGCAAAATCAGACTGACAAAACTTGTATATCTAGTTTAAAAGTAAATTCAAGTTCGTTTTAGACTGCATTTTGCTTGACTGCTCATTTTACCATATGTATCCTAATATACATTACTCTTTCAGCTGTTTCCAAAGCCATCTACTTTAGAGTGTTAATATTTAAGAACCAATTATATCCATTCTGTTTTGTTTGGATAGTTTGCAATTAAGCATTCTTTCAAGTGGGCTTTATTTAGCTAATTCCATCACAAAAATAAGCTCTAGGAGAATGAAGAGAAGTTCAAGCTAGCCAATGTTTATTTTTATTATTAATAATTTATATTATGGTAGTCCCTAGGGGAAGTAGGGCCCCACTAAACCCAGTTTCCTCTGTGTGTAATGACAGTGTCTCACATAGCCTTATACAGCAGAAGATTCTTTCTTTCTGCTGTGGCTTAGGGATCCACTCTGTACTTCAAGGCAGCAGATTGATGAAGAGCATACGAAGACAAATCAAAAATACATTTTTAAGAAGTTTAAACTAGGAACCAGAGGGAAAACTTGATGCATCTCTTCTATACAAAGCCATCACTAATACATTTTTCCAGTATGGGAGCCAAATCACAATTGCAAAGGTTTGTTCATCCTCTCTCTGAAGTTATAGCAATTCTATCAGTGTCTTTCATGAGAGCAAGACTGGGCAGAGAAGCAGTGGGGCTAAAAAACACTTCTGAGCTAGCAGCATAAGACGCTATATGTTAAGACCATTCTGATAGGCAAGGGTAGTTTAAAAATTGTTTTGGTTTCATCAAATTTCCATCAGAAGTTGATGTTTTCACAGCATCTGATCTGGTCTGCTTCCTGTTTCATGGAATTCTTGAAAAATGTGGTTTAGAGTCATCTTACCCTTGCTATATGCAAAAGAGACACAGGGTCAAATCCTGAACTTTTGTAAATCATAGAATTACTAAGGTTGGAAAAGACCTTTAAAACCATCTGGTCCAACCATCACCCTACTACCAATGTCACCCACTAAACCATGTGCCTAAGCACCACGTCCAACCTTTCCTTACACACCCCCAGGGACGGTGACTCCACCACCTCCCTGGGCAACCTGTTCCAATGCCTGACTGCTCTTCTGAGGAGAAATGTCTCCTCATTTCCAACTTATAACTCTGTTGCATTCAATAGAGTTACAGCAGTTCATATCAGCTGAGGATCTGGCCTGCTCTTTATGGGATACTCTTGTGAGTTGAGTGGAGATACTGGGATCCACAAGGCTGCGAAGTGAAAGAGCCCTGAAGTTAGTGCAGCAGTGCAATTTTTCATTGTGGATTTACTGCCCTTCTCCCCTCCCCTTATGTGGAGGCACCGGTCTTTTCTCCACTGTTTCCATAATTTCAAATTCAAAATCTGACAGAAGTTTTCCTGTCCTATCTGTTCCATGCTCCTGTCCTCATTAGTTCAGTTTAAAGGGGGTAAAACATCTGTTTCCAAGTACAGCTGTGGTTAGTATGTAGGCTTTTTTTCTCCGTACAAAATCTCTAAATCTGGCCATTTAAGATTTTATGGGAGCTAGAGTTGGGCTGTGCAAAGTTCACCTCATTAAAAACAAACCCAAACCAAATAAAAGCAGAGAATAACAGCGTAAAAAATGTGGGCCATGAATGTCAGACCATATGTATTAGGAATTGGTAGGAAATGAAGGGGAAAGTACAGATATATAAACATAAATTCAGAGGTTTTTTTTTTTTTTTTTTTTTCTTCACCAAGGAAAGTTTGTGGCTATGGAGTGTCTACAGAACGGGAAGATTAGTACAGAGTACAGTGTTGGTGTGGCTATGACAGCTACCCTAATTCATTGGAAAATAAGAGTACAAGCCTGTGTTAGAAGATACTGAGCAAATTCAGCCTAGATAAAAAGTTCAAATATGCCAAATGATTTTTGAAGATTGTTCTGTTAGCTGGTCAATGAGAGCCGTTCTCATTGTCATGGTTTTGATATCCCCTTCTAAAAAATACACACTTTTCAGTTACCTTCATATACGTACCAAGAGTCACTAATCAGTAGTGGGAATACTGATTTTGCAAAAAGTAAGTAAGTCTGTGCCTACTCAGCATTAAAGAAAATGCTTTGCTTTAAAATATAAAACTTTACTCTCTCTCTCTCCAGATGTCTATTTCCCTGCTATATGACATTTTGTGTACTTTTTCCAGTGTTCTTTGGGTTACTGGTCCTAACTGAGCAACTTCATTATTTTTTGGTATGAGATTGTCTTGGTAACATTTATGGAAATAAAACATTGTTGCCATAGAAAGTTGACTTAATGGCTTAATTCTTAATAAAGGGACAGTTTTCATGATCAGACAGCTACATGACTGATGGCTTCTCCCACTTCTTCCCAGGCGTGCCCCAGGACATGTACTAGTAGATTGTGATTGACAGACTTCAGTTTTTGAAGATATCAAAAGACATCCCATATACTATTGAACAAACTGCACTATTACTGGAAGATTGTCATCTGTTTTGGTTAATATACCCTTCTCAGTGAAATAATCAAAACATATCTATCCATCATAGGGGTTTCTATTGAAACTTAGTACTGGGACTTTGCACAACTCTAAGGCTGAGATAAAGAGCATTTCTTCTTTCATAACTGACCTGGCAGTAGGCTTTTAGGAGGCTCCTGCATCATCCAGTGGATGAAGATGTGATCACCCCCAGTAACTCTGCATGTAACATATACTAAAGCATAGATTGCGGAAAGCGGGAGAATGAGAAATGTATTACAGAAGAATGTTCCTTGGGGTTTTTAATTAAGGAGGGACCTCTCAAGGACAGAATGTAGGATCCAGTGTCTTGCTGCTAGGCAAATTTTCCTTTGTCAGAAATGGAAGAGCCTGTTCATCACTTGTAAATTGCTCTCTCTCAAAGCCATCTGCTTCTTCTCTTGGTAGGAATTTGTTTTTAAGTATTCATTATAATGTAGCTCACTGCAGACTCAAATTCTGCCAAAGCTGAAAAAGCTGCAAGTCAGGCTAGCGTGTGGAGCCTGCCACATTCCTGAATCTCTGATTCAGACTTGCAAGTTTGTCATCAAGTTTGAAATTGAAACCAGAGGAGCTTACAGCAAACCCTGTGCTCATAAATCAGCTGATAATGGGTGAATTGTTCTGTGCCTTTCCCTGAAGAGGAAAGCAAAGCTCAGTGCAAAAGTACACGCAGCAACCGAAGAGCTATGATGTTGGTGAACATGGAGAAACTACATGTGGCTGTGTGAATATGCTGCGTACTGGCAAAGGAAGTAAACAGGGATTTGGGCTATATGCAATCCCTGATCCTTCTCCTATTACAACATTACAAAACAGTTACAGTGGGATTTACAGCCAACTTTGATTCTGGGTAACAAACTTCCATGAAAGAAACAGGCGCAATACATCAGCGTGCGATCTGTGACAAGGTCTCTGTTGTGCCTTATTTGTTTGATATCTGCTGCCACTAGAGGGAGGTACAAAACTGACCACAAAATTATGCCTTGAAAAATAGTTTTCAGGTCGTTAACTAAATATGGGCCAACTTTGCTGCCGGGATTCTACTGAAAATCTGGAATAAATGACTGATTAATTTCCTCTGGTTGTGCACCAGTGTCACTGAGAATAGAACTTGGATCTGTATACTTAGAAAACTAATTAGAAATACAGCAACATATTGAGTTGCAGGCTTGAAAAACAGGTCATCAAGGACCTGAAAGTCGAGTCCTGTGTTCAAAGAACTACTCTAGAAACGGTTACATGTGAGTCGCTACCTCCAGCACAGGAGAAGCTGTCTGAGGGGAGTGATTTTGCTATTTAAATTTATTGCTGTATGGCCAACTTGGAGACTCAGAACTTCATTTCCAGAAGCTGGCATAAAGCTGTAGAAGGGACTAATGACTAAAGCAGTAACCTGGATCAAAGCTGTTTATCTGACTTTCTCTTTATGGCTTAAATATGACCAGGAGGAAAGTATGTCAGATATGTAGCATTTAAATACATATTTAAGAATTGAATCAGCCCAGAAAGAAATAAAATTTTCAAGAGTACCTAAATGAGTAACACACTGAAGCCCCATCTTTCCATATAGTGTGAGTTATTGATGTAATGCTTATTAAAAATCAACGGAACTAGATCCTAAGAGCCTAAATTACTTCTGAGAATGGAATTATATTCCTAAATCACGTAATATGTCACGTAACAGACATAAATTTGGTGCAAATAAAAGGGACAAGCTAACAATCTGATTTAGGCAGGTTTAGGCCAGGAAGTTGTGGAATGCATGTGCAGGGATGTAGAGAAACAAAATCTTCCACTTGCAGCAAAATTGCTATGTAATTGCTCACATTGCTCAGTTTTAAACGTGCAGAAATGTGTGGTGAATACGAGTGGAAAAATGACTGCTCATGGATCTATACAGCTGTAGCTACTGGGCTTCACAGCAGTGTAGCTAAACATACCACTTTGGTAGAAGATGGTTTCCTGCATGGATTGCCTTTTTCAGCAAAGAAGACTGAAGAAATTCATCTCTCCACATTGTTTTATTCTCATCATAGGAACTGGGGGGAGGAAGAGACGAGTAGGTGTGAGGTGGGAGAGCAGGCAAATTGCAAAGGAGAAGCAAAATGTACCTCTTAGTGGTTCAGACATGGTTGATAACAGTACCAAGGGGAAAATATTCAAAAGCTCATCACAGACATATTTTTCTTTATTACCATTATCTGTTTTACCATATGAATCTGATAAACAGAATACCAAACATACATTTTCCATTATTTGCAATTGCAGTGGCTTTTCCCCTGTCTGTGTGGTGGACTAGTTAGAGGTTATATGTATTGGCATGAGACATCAGTTTTGGATAAATGGTATCCTGCAAACAGAATTCCTGTGTTACACTGAATTACGTATAACCTATTCAGATTGTGCTGTGAATTTCCACGAAAGGATGCATCTGAAGAAAGGATCCCTGTTTATGTGTAATGCTGTTTTAAAATGGCTAGAGATGTAGCATCAAGGGCATTTTCTGTCTTCCTAATTCAAGTGTCGTTAATCTTTAGAAAAATAACCACATTTTTTTCTTAGTCCTGCCAATAACAGCTATAAATAGAATGTTCATTTAATAATTGAACAAAAATGCTAAAAAGTTAAGGGGCCTTCATCATAAATTTGGAATGTTTATCTAGCAAAGTAGCCATTGCTACAGAGGTCAATGGTTTTGCTAAAGAATGCTCGAGAGCAAAGATTAAATATAGTGTGTATTTTCCCAGTGGATTCAACACTGTGCTGTACACAAGATGGTCACTTCATTCGTTGTTCTGTCAGCCTTCATTACATATACCTTTAGAGTAATTAGGGCCGAGTCATGATGTTATCACATCTCAGGAGTTTCATTAAATTTAATGGTGTGGATTCTTTAGATCCCCAATGCTGCAAAGTAAGTGCCAAGATCTAGAAATTTCCAGCCTGTTCCAGGGTACGCTAAAATCACAGGAAACTTCAGTGGTTCAGGCCAACCAGCCCTAAGACTCTGTTCAGAAAGTCTGACATTATTGTAATACGCTGTGGCAATCTGATTTTTTTTTTAATCGGTATCATGAGAGACTCAAATGTCATTGTCTGCTGCAAGTGTTTTGAAGTGGATACCACCCGTCAGAAGCAGCCAGAAATGTTAGCTAACTACACTGTTTCTGAGTTTTGAAATAAATGATAGGAAGAAAAATAATTATGATTACATCAATATGATGCTAGAAAAATTTAGATCTTAACTTGGACTTTAAAAGTTTTCTGATGTTATTATGCCAGGATTGTCTTTTCACCTATTAGGTGCTTGCAGTATGTATTTCTATCAGCTAAAACTCTACTGCCAATGCAGTTACAATAGCAAAAAAGATATTGTACTGGAGTTTATAATAAATTCAGGGAAGTGAAATGACTAACTTAGAACAAAGATTTTTTTTTGAAATATCAGATGATTTGTTGGAATCACAGATCATTCTTAAAGTCCAGAGAATGTCTCTGGAAGAGGATTATGTTGTGATAATACAAAATGAAGTCAACTCTTTGGTTTATACAACTAGAAGATAGAATGGCTCTACCACAATCCCAAGTAAAGCTAATGTAACATTTCCAAATAAAATTATGTATAAAAATTACAAGAATAATCAAGGAGAAAGCATCAAGTGGTATAAGGCAAAATGTCATGATGCATGATTTGTCCAGAATCACAAACGTGATCCTAAAGCCACTTTACTGCCATTGGCATTTAATATATTTTTTTTTCTTTTCACTGTGTTTATTTTCTACAATGACTAATAATTTACTTGATTTCTACCTGGCTTTTATTCTGTGAGCAATATGCAGCTGCTGCTTGCTGAAGCCAGGGAACAGCAGTTTCTGGCGTACTTGTTGCCCAGGCTATTGCCTTGATGCGTGTATTCACAATCAGCTGAAGGAACCAGAAGTCTGGCACACTTTTTGCAGATACACAACTAGGAGCAGGTGTGTGCCTCTTAACCAACAGGTTATTCTCAAATGGGACACTATAATATTTTAAGAAAGCATGAATATCTTACTCTAGCAATAGTTCATCAAATTCAAGTGAACCTCTTGAAGATATTAGAAGAAAATCATGGCTACTAATTTAAAGTACAAAACACAAGCAGAAATATTTTGCAAGAAGTCAGTGAGTCATATTTTCCTCATAAATCTGTTGAAACCATTGTGTCCAGAAACAATTAAGTATGTGACTAGGGTAGGAAAAGTTTAGCCATAAACACAAACAGACACCAACTTCTTGTTTGTAGAAGATCAAGGTCCTTTGGCTCGAGGAATACCCTGATACTAACAGAGACAAAGTAGAACACGAAGTTTGAGTGTACTTATTGCTGCAAAAAAAATCAAATGTTTGGTCCTGTATGTCTGGATAATTGGTAATTCTGAAGGCTAAATGCTAATACTTTACTGGTATATGGCAACTCATTGAAATAGGGACAAACATACTCCTTTAATTTGAAAAAAAAAAACCACCACAACTCTTTTGATTTATATTAAAAATATATTTTCTAAGACCTGAAATCTCAATCTTACAACACTGCAGGTATTAATGTGTTTGAGTATATAAGCATCCAGCAGTTCAGAGGTCTGTTTACAACTCAGAAACATTATGTTTGATTCAAGCTTTTTTTTTTTTCCCCAGTAGCTCAGTGTTTCTGTCACCCCTGGCAGTAGACTCCGTCAGTTTGGCCTGATGTTCCTGTACTCCACACATGCCAGCCCCATGCTAGCTACTGTATCCACATTCTGTGCTTTTTGGGAAGATTAAAAGTGAGGAAGTACCTCTGCTCCCCAGGGTATAATCCTGGCATTTAAGAGATCTGAAGACGTTGGCCTACCCAGCAGAGATTACAGGTTGGAAGATAGATTGGAGCTCAGCTTTGTTGGGCTGTAGGGGGGTCCTTATCTGATTTATTTTTAGCCTAAAGGGACAGTTGAAATTGAAGACACGTCCAGATGCTCCTTCTCAGGGCAGTTGTAACATAGCTCAGCACTTTTGTACAGACACTCTGGCTAGCGAAACCCTGTGTTTAAACAACTGCATGTATAAATCTTTCTTACTATTAAAATGTTGTCAAGACATTCTTCATATGACCTTCTAGTCCGATGTGTGAAACGAGCTGCTAGATTTCTAGGTTACAACCAAAATATGTGTGCCGGTGTGTACCATGAGGTATTTGGCTTTATCAAAATAATTTTAAAATAAGTAAGATAAGTCCTTTAACATTGTTTTCCTAATATTATTCAGATTCTCTCATAGGAAGGAACTGTGAAAATGTGCTTGTGAATTGCATGTAAACGTAGCTATACGTTGGAGCTGCACATGACACAGTCAGTGACCTTGAGGGCTGAGCTTTGTGCTGTTAAAACCAAACAACCCATGAGTATTTTTAAATGTTTATGGCTGTGCACAAGTGAGGTCCAATTCATCTCTCATTTCTACTAATTTGCAATATTTTCTTAAAGTCTGAAATTATATTTGATTTATAAATACATATGTGGCAACAGAATCAAGTCTAAGCAGATTAAGCAATTTCTTTCTTTCACCAGCTGAAGTTTGAGGGTCTGTACATTTCCAACATAACTCTTCATGCTGAGAGTTCTGTACCACAGACTTGTATTTCAGAAGTCATCTCAGCATTTTTCACATCACTTTCCCTGTCAAGGGTCTCCCTGTTTTTGTTTTTGTTTTGTTTTTGTTTGCTTCCTATCTATATGCTTGAAAAGCTTCTGTTCTCTTGCTATAGAGGCTTTAGGAATCCTATAAAGTCAGAAAAGCTTTTCCTGCACTTCTTTCCTTGTCCTGTCTCAAGAAATAAGCTCCCCAGGTTAGGGAGCTGAGGAATGGATCCTGGGAATCTGGCTCAGCCTTCAGGAGGGATGTGGTCAATAACCGTGAGGCTATTCCTTTTATTTCTTCCTTTAACAGCTTGTTATGCAATGACATTTTTCAGCAAGTTGCATGTTTTTTTTTTAGTCTACTGATCCTTTTGATGGGGTGACTGTTCACAGACATAAGCATCTGAAAACCAGAGGAAAGAATGGAAAATATTTTGAAACTTCAGCTGTGATGTGGTTCAAGTATGCTCTCTGATTAGGGGTGTTAAGGAGGCATCGTTTCAAAGCAACAGAGCATAAGTGCTGTAGAGTATGATTTAAAGGTGATTAAGGTGCACCTAAATTTGTCCGTGTAACAGATTTCTGTTGATGCTACTGGAGCTATGGAGTCCTGTGGGCTTCAGTGCACTAGATACAAAACCACTAGCCATATCCAATATTTTTTCTCTATTTAACAAACTAGGTAGCTTGCAAAGCAAGGTAGCTTTTTGCCTCAAATGTATCATTTTCACATCTTCTTCTAAAATGCTTTGCCTGATTTTATTTTTTCACAGATGTGTTCATGAGCTTGGCAGATCTTGTAGAAACAGGAGTCTTTTAGCTCAGCTCAGGGCACTAACTGAATGGCTTCTAAAGAAACGATCGGTTCTCAGTTCTCGCTTGCCAACAGGATCTCTGCTTGTGGAAATCCATAACAGCTTAGTGACTGCCTTGGTAGACAATGATACCTAAAGCATAGTCACTTACAGTAATGCCCTGTACTTGTAGACTAGCCCAGAATCAGCAAAACACTCCAATCTCATCCCTCTTGGGAAGGATAGTTCAACCTTTTAGATCTTTGTATGCAGTCTGGAAGAGCATTGAGTTAGGTTGCTCTCAAGTTAGTGGCAGAGCCAGGAAAAGTCTTACCCTGACACTTCATGGCTTCTAGGCTGAGTAATTGCACCCATGCTGCTGGAATAATGTGGGGGGAATAGGGGTTTAGTGCAGATGTTTCTTTCCAGTACCTACACTGATAGATTAGGTAATCTCACTAATCTTCAAAGTGTGTTCTATAATGTAGGAAAAATTTCTGCATGGAGCATCTCCATGTGGAGGTCTTTGTTGTCGTTTGTACTTCTCTATACAAATAGATACCCCGGCTTTTTCTTTTAATCAGTTAAAAATTCTCAACAACTTCAAATGGAGTTTTGTGTGAGTCAGGAGTAAGAACTAAGAGAGGAAATTAGGATTTGGCCCTCATTTTGGCCTCATTAAAACAATTAAAGCAAAGCTGCAAGTTGTGGTGTTTATATTAAACCAGCTTTGGGGAAAAGGAAGGGAATGCTGTATATTAATTGTCCGGGTGATTTTCTACAGCTGCTTTGAGAGATATGTCTGTTACTTATATTGTAACTTGGATTCTATAGACATATGGCAAAGAACACAACTCTCCAGAAAGCAAAAAAGTTTGACTGATGGAAAACAGAAGACAGCAATCCAAAGGAAATCCTGCCAGAGGAGGAGCATGAACCTGAAATTTACTGTTGAAACCAGATTTCTGCCTTGGGCTTAAGTACCACACTCGGCCAATTCTACCATTGATTTCAGTGTGGCTCTGCACAGACGCAAAGAACTATTTTTTTGGACCTGACTAAGTCTGGAGCTTAAGTATTTTTCTGGCATTCAAACTGATTTGGAAATACATGGGTTGGCGTGAACTCCTTAAGCAGTGGGACAGTTACAGGGCTTTTTAAAAATCAGAAATGCAGACAGCCTGTGAATAGAGGTTATTCTGGCTTTTACATAGTGAATTTGTAAAATCAATCAGCAATTGCAGAGGGCATAAGAGATTTCATTGCACTGTTTAGTACTCTATTAATTGTATTGTGGATGTCAACAGAAGAAACCTGTATAGCAGAGAAGTCTTTTTTTTCTATTTAATCTACTGCCTGTTTTTCTGACTTTCCCCTTTCTTGCAGCTCAGCACTTGCAACAGCACAGGTCTAAGCCAGAACTGCCAAGTAGGTTTTGACTCATCTGTTTTTCCTTTTATTTTAGAAGCCAGTAGACTTGCTGATTGGCAATCATGTCGGTCAAACTGACATTCGTGTCTCCTGGGGATGGCGGTGGTATCAGCAGGAGTTGTTCCTTCACTGGATTCAGCACTGTGCAAAGCAGAAAATTAGCGTAAGTAACACCAAAAAAAAAGCATCTGATCATCTGGACAATGAATGTTAGGTACCATGAATGTATTTTTTAACAAAATCAGGTATATATAGAAGTTGTTTCTTAATCTTGATCTTAAAACTTAAATGAGTGTTGTCATGGTTCACTGGTAAGCACTTACACTTTACACTATACTGTCTTACTGCTATATACACTGTGCTTCAGAGGCAGCTGAACTTCTGGTTTGTGAGAGAGATTATGTATCATATTCTTCATAGTGTCCATTTTTTCTAGAAAAATGTTGATATGAAAGGTGTTACCTAATACCTTTTACAATCACTGACCTCCACTTCTCTGCTGTGTTTCTGCAGGGTGAAAAGCAAATGTGATCACAGAGATGATCTCACTTGCTGAAGTTGGTCAGATATAATAAAATCAAAAAGATATGGATAAATAATACCAAAAAATAGTTTTCCACTTTCCATAAAGTAATGTTTGGGATCTCAGCATGCTCAAGAATTAGTATTAATGTTCCAGTAGGAGGCATTTTTCCCTGACATCTGTTCTAGTAAGACCCTGGTAGTAAAAGGTGTATTCTGACTAATAGCAGCTTTCAGATAAAGTGGAAGGCCTTCTGAATAGTTATGGTAATTGAAAATCTCATAGACTTTTAAAAAGATGGTGATATTAATGGTGAATCCTGGCAAAAAATGCCATTGATCCCAACTAAAATTCTCCTCCAGTTATTTAAGTGGAGTAGCATTACATGAGAGGAAGGACTGCTTTCTGGCAATGACACAAACTAGAGGAAGGGAGGAAGACAAAGAGTCCAAGAAAGCTACTGCAAATTCACTACTGTCAGTAACAGGTCAATAGTATAGCCAAGGTTGCAATCCAGTCCTTCAGTTTTCAGTCCAACATGGTAATTGCTAAACCATCCTGCACTGTTTTTCCCTTTTTGGTTATTTACAAATTGTTGTGTAGCCTTGCTTTATGCAGATAGCTGTGCAGCTTTTCTGCTAGAAGTGTTCTTGTTCTTTTTCTTCATGTAGTGATCCTTGTATAGCCTGTGGAGTGCTTTCTGAAGATATGATACATAAATAGAAAGTAATATAATCCCTGACAACCAGTGCATATTAGAATAATAACAAATCATTTAGAAGTATCATATAGAGGTATTGGAAAGTATGCCTCTAAAAGTATTGTATCCCAAAAAATCATATTGTGTATCACTAAAATACTGGAGTCATTTGATAAAATATATTTTCAAAGAAGCAAATGATTGTATTACCCTTTTAGGTAAAAGTAGTGTGGTAAAGTATGAGCAAAAATGAAATTCCAGCATGACTGTGATATGAACAAAAAGTCTTTACATTTGAATAAATTAATTTGTTGTGGAAGATGGAGAATAACACCACCTAGCAAAGACTAGGCATCTAAGATCTTGAAGAAAACACTGACAATAAATTGTTTAAGCAGACTTGAGCTCAAGTGACATAGTGGGAGTTCAAGCAGGGAAAAGATCTACCAGGAAAGGGGCTGAACAGCTGTTTCTCCAACAAAGACACAGTCCAGTGGGGTAAGAATGCTCAAAACAGAAACGTTTCTGTATCCCTTAAGATTATTCTCTTACTTTTAGCTGCAAAGGTTTTCTAGCCAGATGCCTCTCTTTATGCATTTTTTTATGATGTTGCTTTTTGTTATTTAAATGTTTAGACAGACAGTTTTGTTCAGGAATTATGACATTAAGAAAAATTTTTGTACTACTCAGTAACAGCCTGGTAAACACCCAAGAGCCTTCTCCAGCATAGCAAAGAAATATTCTAATCACCCTCTCCTAACTTCTCTCTCTCTCAGGCACTGTTGCAAAACACAGCAGGAGATTGCGGGGCCCTATGCAAGGTCTATCCAAAGGATGACACACAAATCAGGTCCACATGGAGATTCTTAAGCAGATGCTAAATATATTTTTGCATTTGTTTAGCAACTTCCTTTTGAGGCTCTCAGTCAGACACACTATTTCATTTTTCCTCACAATGGAAGTAAATATTAGTAGTAATACCAAAATTACTAGGTTCACAAGGGAAAATGACATAGCATCTAACATTAGGTACTGTCCCTGAGGTCCCAAGCTAGCCCTTCAACTTTTCTATGCAATGCGTGGGTTTCTAAACATCAGTGCACTGAGTGCCTATGGGCTGCATCACTCACTAGCAGGTACTGAGGAAAAGGGTGACTTTTGGCTGCTTAGCTGTACTGCTTAACTGCTGTACATGAAACTGAAGGGAAATGATTTTCTGAATTTAGGATTTGCAGTCTAAAACTCTGAAGGTAAATATCAAAACTGTTTAATTCCCCCAAAAGTAAACAAACAAAAACCAGGAGTAATTTGGGCTTTTTAATTTCAAAAAGATAGAATTGCCTTATATGTTCCGTATGGTATCTTGCCCTTTGGAGTACTCATCTAAAACATGAAAATGGATACTAATCATTTCTTTGCATGAAAGAATTTTAAGTCATGATCCTTATAAGAGACTCTTTCAACTGTTGTTATTGGCTGGACTGTTACTTCCAGTGTTATTCCTGTTGAAACCCTCTCATTTTGCATGGAATACTCAAAGATTCATTATCTTAGGGAAACGTTGCACGTTTCTAATTTAACACTTGTGTTCCTCGTTATAGGTAACCTGAGTTCCAAGTGGTTTGGTTGATTAACACTTTACAATAAGCCATCATAAAAAATAAGATAATCATTGTGGTGAAGAAACTAAATATCTAGTATTGTTTGGCAACAGATAAGGTGTTAAAAAATGAAGTTAAGTGGAAATTTAGCACCAGGATAGCTAAAGTATTTACTTAAAGGTTTCTAGAGTAGGACTGGGAACAGCTCTCAGGTTTGCTGGGCCTATTTAATCACCAAGCTCAATAATCTCTTTAGGCATTGAGTCACATGCCTAGACCTTAAGGCAGCCAATGGATAATTATTAAGCCTGTTGGAGTTCATCATTTCCCCAGGTGAGCTGAATTTAGGACGAGGATTATAGAGAAGGTGGAAAGCTCCTTTGAGTGCAACCAGTTGGCTCAGTCTCATGGAACAGGAAACTTCTTTAGCTAATGTTATTTTAGAGCCTCGACTTACAGGGAGTATTAACAAAACTAGATAAAAATAATTAAGACTTAGAAGACTATATTAGCTAGAAGCCAAGCAGGAACCTGACAATCTGAAAGAACCATTTGCGGAGAGTTCATTTTCTGCTTTAAATGTGATAGATACATAGCTAATGGTTAGGGATGTTGTAATTCATCAGGTTAGCACAAGCAGTCCTGCATGTGGGACTTCTGTTAGAAACAGTATTTGGTTTTGCAGTTGCTTTTAAAAGTAAGTGAAGTGTTAGTTTCTGAAAAAACACTGTAATAATTATATCTTGTGTGTAATCTGGGCTTGGTAGTAGGCTTTCCTAAAACATGGTAGGGCTTTAAGTGCTCCCTTTAGTGAGTACAAGCAAAAAGATAGTTGTTATTAAAGGTTTTTTTATGTTAGCTCTGTCAGTTGGAAAGATAATAGCTTATCCAGTCTCTTGGTAGTGTTTTAAAGCTAATTGTGTGTGTTTGTCATAATCTGTGCTTCTTGCGTCCAAGCTAGTGCTTAGAAGTGTAAATGGTTTAGCTTATCTCTGGAGATTACTGGTAGCTGGAGAGCAAAAGTCTCTTGAATTCTACTTCCAGTTTACAGTTGTTAGGCCTTGAGCAGATCAAAAAGTCATTGCCTCGTTTTCCTGAATTGCAGGTGAGAGTCAGAACAGCAATGTCTGTGTCTTGCAGCATGACTAGATCTATAGTTGACTCAGCAGCTAGTGTGAATGTGTACATAGTATTAGGGCCTCAGCTAGTGGCCCAACAAGTCTGTTAAGACAAGTACTAACAGTATGATCCTTTACCTGTTCCAGAAATGAGCTTTTCTTTTCTTTGCTTAATATCCTCCACTTCCTGAAGAAATGGAGACCTGCACAATTCTTCTGCCTTTAAAAAGGGGCAAAAGAGAACCATTAGGCTTCCTTGAGTCTGCTTCAGTCTTGGAGAAGGAACCACTTCTTATTTTTGTTGGAGTCAAAAAAAAAAAAATAAAAAATTGTAGCTTTTCTTCATTGGGTATGTGGGGCTGGGCCTGAATGTTCTAATGTTATCCATTGAAGTGTTTTCAGTGTGTCCAAGAGCTTTAATCCTTTTGGTAAAAATACATGGGATTCGGAAACTGGAAACTCTCTGGGTTAGGCATGTCTTCTCCGAGGTGATGTGTTTTGCGTCTTTCCCATATTTCTCTTCTTTTTCTACAGAAAGTCTCTCAACAGAAGTTCAGTGAGATCAAGAATGTCACTGAAGTCCCCCAAGGCATATTCTTCACTGCAGAAAGGGGCAGTCATCTGGGATCCAAAACCACTGCAGGTGAAGAAAATTTTTGAAGCTTTGAAGAAAGGACTTAAGTAAGGACTCTTTTTAAATATTGTAATTTACTGTACCTAGTCGTGCTACTTAACTCTGTGTATGACATTGTTCTCTGTCTCCGTTTGCCATTCTTTAAATAGCATGCTACTCTGGAGTTTAAAAATCTTCTTTCATCACTGGGTGGCTTGTTGTAAGAGAAGAGCTAAGCAGATCCCCCTGAAAGACTTAATTGACTTGAAGTGATAAAACAGATCTGTAGTACAACTCTATCTTCTTATGGCAGTGTAAATAACATTACTAAATGTGTTATTTCAGTTTTCTTGCTTTAAAAGTAGCACTATTTCAGAGTCTTTATTATAGTTGACTGCTGTTGTCTATGGTTGTGGACAATGTTATGTTAGTAAAGACTTGACTAAAAAGGCTAAAGGCCCAATTTGTCCATTTTCTCCATCTGGCAGATGTGAGGTGTATGTAGCAGACAACAGATCAAAGACTGGGCTGGCAACCTGAATTTGGGGTGTTCTGGCTTTGAGGGAGCTGTCAGTTACATCACTGAAACACTTCTGTTCAATCTGAAATGGCAAATAAAACAGATAAGCTTGATTTCTTGGTGTTACAGACCAGAAGTTGAGAAGTAGTGGTAAATGCTGTTTGCACTTTGCATCTTTGACTCCATTAGTGAGAGAAAACTGATGAAGCTTTAACTAAGTCCTGAAACCTTACTATATAAAATACGAATCATTAGAATTCATGTTGATAGATCTGGTCTAATATTGCAGGAACTTCATTTACACCCTGAGGCAGCTGTTGGAAGATAAAATATTGTCACTTGGATTTGTAAAACCTGTTACTTTCTTGTTACTGCTGCCATCCCACTAACAGTTGATTCATGTATGTTTTTGCTGGCATCCCACTAATGAAGTTCATTTCTATGTGTTTCTGCTTCCCTCAGAATTTTGCTACTATATTAATTATGATTATAATTTTTTTCTTAAGGAAAGAACATAAAAAGCACTGTAATAACTTACCGCACGCTCACGTTTTTATTCTGATAAAGGACTATTAAGTTCTAGCCCTAAAAAAGAACAGAGGAAAAAAAAAACACAGTCCATGTCTTTTTATGATTTAGATTTAAAACAAATAATGAAATTAAATGTTTTTGCAGAGTTTAGAATTTATCAGCGCTTAGAGGGAGAAACCATAAAGTGGATTAGTGTTCCCAGTTCTACAGGGAATGCCATATGATCTGAATCATGCCAAAACTGAGTAGCTAACTAATTGACTAAAGTAACCTACAGAAAACAACTGTATCGAATAGCAATAGGAAGTCCAAACTTTAAGTAGATACAGATTAAGTCCATTTGGTGCAGGAGCGACTTGAGTTTTTAGAACAGAATATGTTTTACGTGCCTCCTTTTTTATAGCTATAGCAAATAACTCTTTTCTGTTAACCATCTGGATACCATTCCATCAAGCTAGCAACTCTAACATGCCTAAATCTAAAAGTGACAAAGCTCTCCTAAAAGGAAAGCAAAGTCTTTCTTGCAACCAGCCCTGGCTACTCCTGCACTGAGCAGTTAACAGGCAAAGGTAAAGAGTAGGTTGCTGAATGCTGCAGCCATTGAGTGTCTTGAAGGATCTGTTTTTGTCAACAGTAAGAAAAATGAAATGCATCAAAGCAAATGTGAAAAGTACAGCTGTCTGACATGAAGTTATTTTGACTGCTCAGCGACTGTGTCTTATGCTGTATTTACCAGGTGACTTTTTCTTTCCTATTTCAACATTAGAGGAAAAAGTTACCTAAGCATGATCTGTATTAAAAGCAAAATTGGAAGGAGATGTTGTCAGCAGTAATAGTTCAAGGCATTGTGAGAACTCCAAAGGGATAACCCATGCATGTAAGCAACTCTGTGGGAGCCAACTGGCATCAAGTGCTTCACACCCTGCAAAATAGTTCCTGTTCTGGAAAAAGTAATGGTTACATTAAGAAAGTTTCTAGTATGCTAGAAGGTGGTATTCACTTCTGTTTGCTAATACACCGAATGACATCTGCCCTATCTTAAGAGTATTTCTATGAGCTTTGTTCTGCAGCCCAAGTGTTTCATGTTGCAGTTCTTTGACTTTGTAAGGTGGAATTGGTTGACGACTTACTCCTCAGTGACTGTAAGATAAGACTTGCTGAACAAATGAACTGTTTTTCTACCTAACAGAAAATGTTCCAGAAGGCCAAACAAAAAATGGAAAAAAAAAAAAAAGGGGGGCTTTGTGTGTTGGGCTGTGTTTTAAAACTTGCTGTTCTCCTACATCCCTCCTTTCTTCTTGCCTTCAGTAGTTCTTCCAGCTCTGCTGCTTTTTTACTTCACATTTCTAGAATAAAGCTTATCTTTCACTTTATTTTAAATGAAGGGAAACAACAAAAAAAGTCTGAATTCAGTGTGCATGTGCACATGTATATACATTATGCACCAGTGTTAGCTTTCTTGAATTGCAGTGTAGCATTCTCCTCCCAGAGGAGTGACAAGGATTAGGGAGATTCTTAATGTACATCATCTTTGAATGTTGGGTAGCAATATTGAACATCTGTGGGCACTCACTTTATACTTAAGTTCCTCTTCTTACAGATGCTCCTATACATCTGTCTCCTGATCCTCTATGAGTGTCCTACATATAGGACAAATATTTACTTATGGAAACCATCCCTTCTCATCCATTGACCCACGTTCCTCTATATGGCCATTCAAATATCTAGAGTAAAGCAAGAGAAGTCTTCTCTAGAGATGTTAAAAAGTTACTTTTTAACATGCTACTGAAAAAAATATTTGAGAAGGTGTTATAATGAATGTACCAGAAGGATATAACACTTGACGTTTTCTTTTTCTCCAGTGAATACTTGGAAGCACATCAGGCTGAGTTGGATTATCTCTCTGGTCGGCACAAAGATACGAAAAGGAACTCCAGATTGGTATGTTGCTCTTAATGTTAATGCCTAAATGACTTCTAAAAGGTTGGCACAAAACTAGACGGTATCTCTCACTTCTGGGACTCCCAGGGGTTTTACATTTAAAACACTGAGGTAAGATCCAGCATAGCAGCACACTCTAGAATTTACTAAGTAAGTTAGGTCTAGATGTGAGAAATGAAGTTAGAATTTCCCCGTTTCAACATGATGTTTAGATTGTATTCCTTTTCTTACTTAGGTAGTATTTCCATGTGTCTGTTCAGTGATCAGTGTTCATACTTAAGTCTGTATGGAGAGAAGCAGAAAGACCAGGCTTTGTTTTCAGTAGTTGGTGAATGTGTCCTAACAACTTAGATTCTGCTGTGTTCACAATTCCCTAGAACCGTCAGCAACAGTGCTAATGAAAAGACAACTCTCAGATCCAACTTACTTCCAATTGGAAGGCAAATAGCTAGACAAAAAACGTCCCGTGCACCATGACCAATGAACATCCAAGTCCTTATTATAGCTGATGGTGAAAGAATGTCTCATTTCAAGCATCCGTTGGGGTGTTGGAAGTGCCAAACCAGCCACATGCAGAAAATGAGACTGATTCTAAAAGTTTTTGTCTGTCTGCTTGTAGTAAACAGTACATCTTAATTCAGTGTCACTAAATGCATAGTGAGTTTTGCAATAAAAGTCAAAATATTGTTACTATGCATGCTCTCCTGTTCATCCTGTGCTTTTTTTTCTTTCAGGCCTTCTACTATGACCTGGATAAGGTAAGATTTGTAAAGATGAGATGAAATATTGTAGGTGAAGAAAAAAAGTGTTGCTTACTGTGTTACTTAAAGGCATGTTTAGGAAATACTGAAATAACTAACCAAGTCCCCCTTCTCTCTCCCCTCTTCAAAAGCAAATTCGCTCTGTGGAGAGATACATTAGAAAATTGGAGTTCCACATAAGCAAGGTAAGGGGGTTTTATACGTTGCATGTGTAAGGCTTACATTGCTATGTAAGCAAACTCTCTGAATAGAAAATACTTTAACTATAATTTGTCTGAAGGGGAATTTCTGGGTACTTTTTGAAAGCTGTAGCCACTCTTGTTACTGAAGGAGGCGATTTTTATTTATTTATTTTCTTGAATGGTTCTATTCAGGCTGAATGTTTGGCACAGCCCAACATGAGCTTGCCTGTGAAACCAATTTGCGTACTCTGCCAGTTTGTTCAGAAAATAAATAAATAACTCTGCTTTCGGAAGTTTCACACATTATCCCCCTGCCCCCTTTCTCACAAGGGGCCTAGGTGGGCTGTTCTTTATCGTGTATGTCTACGATCTGCTTCCAAAGGAATTAAATCTATCCTCTGACATGGGTAAAGGTGTAGGTGTGTTAATGTATATTCAGGGAATTAACTTTCTTCTCCCTGAGTAATTTTTCCCTGAACAAAGTGTTACTCTACTCCCTGTCTTCCACTTCTTAATAATCACAGAGTGAGTTATTTCTCAATATCCCCTCCTTCTTTTGCTGGAATATCTACAAACTGTTGCACTCTGATCAGTCTGTAAAATGCAGGTGTTGCATTGTGGTGCAATACCAAGATAATCGGTTTTGGTTATGGGTGGTTTGAGTGTTTTTTTTTTTTTTTTTTCCCCCTCTGTTAAGGACTGACAATGTTCCTTCCCAAAACATATTAAAATTATGTCAGGGTAATTCTTGTAAATTCTTTTCCTCACCTAAAAATCTTGTAGGTGGAAGAACTCTATGAAGCTTACTGTATCCAGTGCAGACTGCGTGATGGCGCCACTAACATGAAACATGCCTTTGCCTTGTCTCCTTCCACCAAAGCCTCCAGGGAGAGTCTAGTGGAGCTCTACAAGAACTTTCAGGGATGTACAGAGGTAGGGAATACTGCTCATACGTAGTGATGACCTGACTGTTTCTTAGCGAAAAACGTACCAGAACTTGCTGTTGGCTTTTTATTATTGGTGGGGGTTTAAAAACAAAACTGAAATACAGGTATATAATGCAAATTGAAGCTTGTGAGATAAATACCTTGCAGGCAAAGCTCTTGAGTTCTGTGTTTCATTCCTTTTTTTTTCTTTTTTTTTTTTTTTTTTTTTTGTCCCCTGCTTAACTTGGCTTCATGCATTTGTGAGGACAACTGAAAAATTCATTTAATTTCTGCTTTAACACTGGAGTGAATTATGACTTCCACTGGAAGTAATGTGATGAGAATTAAATACATCACAAGTAAGCCATGCTATTTTTGTAGAACAAACAGTGGAAGGTAACTGAAGGTGAATTGCTTAAGCAATTCCATTCTACTGTGGAGAGGCATCACAATTTTCTAGCTTAAAGGAGGCTGTAGCGAGGTGGGGGTTGGTCTGTTCTCCCACGTGCCTGGTGACAGGACGAGGGGGAATGGGCTAAAGTTGCGTCAGGGGAGTTTTAGGTTGGATCTTAGGAAGAACTTCTTTACCGAAAGGGTTGTTAGACATTGTAACGGGCTGCCCAGGGAAATGGTGGAGTCACCATCCCTGGAGGTCTTTAAAAGACGTTTAGATGTAGAGCTTAGGGATATGGTTTAGTGGAGGACTGGTTAGTGTTAGGTCAGAGGTTGGACTTGATGATCTTGAGGTCTCTTCCAACCTAGAAATTCTGTGAAAAGTGGTATGAATGATCTCTCCATTGGCCTTCACTAGTGCAAATGTTGTTGTCTATCAGTTAAAATATATATTAAAAAAAAAAAAAACAACAAAAAACCACACACACAACAAAATAGCCAAAGTTCTTTAAAGATAAGAAAATGGTATGTATGGGAAGGGTAGCTACTCTTCACTGCTTTTCACTCCTAGTGACTGTTCAGTCTTCCTTCTAGGACATGTGCTTTATAGAAGGGGCGTTGGAGGTCCATTTAGGAGAGTTTCACTTGAAGATGAAAGGTATGTTCTTCGCGTGTTTTCTTTGAGATTTATCAGATGAATAAATAGGTTCTCAACAAATCAGATTTCTACATAGGAAACCCAAAATTAGTGTTGGCTGCTTCCACTGTTTTTCTGGATCAGACCCTGAAGAGAATTCTGGCAAACTTGTTTGCTTCAGTGCTATGAAATAGATCTGCAATGGTATTTTATACTCTAGTACAAAAACTGACAAACTTTCTTTCTTTGTCTCAATTGAAGTTTTTCTGAAGAGGTTTGGGCTATAGGAATAGCTTCTGCATGGAGCTGAGCACAAAGGGGTGTTTACCAGATTGTCTCTTTGTTTATTGTAAGCTGAAGCTTTGTGGGACATCATAAAACTCTTCAAATACGATGAGTTTTTCTTTTCTTTTCAGGCTTGGTGGGCTTCGCACGTCTCTGCCCAGGGGACCAATATGAGGTGCCGTATACAGTGATTCATTTTGCCCTTTATTTTACTGCTATGAATTTACAGTAGAGGAACCGGAGTGCAAGGGTGCGACACGTAGAAGGCGAGTGGGTAAACAGGCTATGATAAAACCAAGCACTGCTCTGGTGAGGGCAGTACTCTGGCACACTCATTGGTTGCTCTGGCCTTTGAGACTTAAAAGAAAAAGACTTAAGTGTTAGGAGAGGTTTTAACAGATGGCAGTGATTGTCTATGAAAACCAACCTAGCAGGTCTTTATCTTCAAAGTTGCCCTAGAATCAAGTAACAGTTGCTGCCTGTTTCTTGGAAGACTGCCCTTGGCACGATTTGAATGCATCTCAGTATATTACAGGGTTGCTCTCCTACTTGTAGTGATTCCAAATCAATTCCAATGAGCCTTGTATTTCAGTACTTCTGCACCAGGTAGACATAGTTTTACAAGTCTTTTGGAATGGATGGGATGTGTCGTTAGACATTGATTTAAGGTGTTAAATCTGACAGCCTGAACCTTGCCTCCAGCCTTCTACTTTATCCGAGTTCCTAAACGCACAGTGATCAAAAGAACAGCTTTGCCTCTGCAGTACTGGAACAGAGTGAGGCTTGTGGGCCAGAGAGTGTTCTGGGTTATGTTGACCTACCATCCTTCTCTTTGTGGTTTCCAGGTTTTTGTGCGACTGGGACGCCAAAAATGGCGGTTGAAAGGCAAGATTGAGACTGACGACAGCCAAACATGGGACGAAGAAGAAAAGATTTTCATACCTAATCTCCACGAGCAGTTTGAAATCAAGGTGTGGTGTATAATGGTTGGATTGGAATCAGTGTGTTAACAGGTCTTCTATCTTACTGCTTACCTGTTAGTGTACCGTGCATTTGTCAAAACTCCTATATAGTTTTATTTTCCTAGTCATGTAAAAATAGCACTTAATCAACGTGCCGTGTATTGAACAGAATTCTACTTCTATTCTTCCTTACCAGTGCTAGGAGCACTGTGTACTGTACTGGTGCATTTGCTTTCCCGTGTTCTGGAGTCTGGTCTGTGTTTTTGTTTTTAAAAAAAGACATCTTAAATCAATATCTAGGTTACTGTAGGGTAAAGTTTAAATGTGGAGACACAAAGATGTGTATTACTTGTATTACCCATGTGGGATATTAAGTACCTAGAGTTCTGTTTTCTACTGAAAAAGAAAAATGGGTATATGGAAAACATATCACTGCACATGAGGATGTTTGAACTACACATTCAAAATGCACATGTGGGTGTGCTACAGATTGTTTTATCATGTTTGCATTAAGTGATGCTCCATGTTTCCAATAAGCTAATGGCATTTATATGTCAGTACGAGGTGTACTTTAAGTAGTAGTATCAGGTTGCTGCAGAAAGATAAAGTACCTCAAAAGAGGCCTTATCTTTAACAGTAAGGGACCAGTAGTAGTGGTCTGTGATGTTTTGTGGGTATTTCTTGGAGGAAGCTTGTATTACTTGTTGACCCTTATGCAGCTGGCACTGGTTCTGGTACATACCTAGCAGGTGGAGTTAATCCTTAAGCAGCAATTCCAGTGTAGTCTGGCACCTTTCATGGGCTGGAATCTGCACTGTGACTCCTGTCAACCTAAAAGGAGCTGAGATCGAAGTCTGTGCTGGACCCTAGTCTATTAGGAAACTGTGCCAGTGTAGGGTTTCAAGCTCTGGCATTGATGTTAAAGCAGCTATTGCAATATTCCCCTCCTATCTGGCAGCAAGAAGTGGGTTACATATGTGGGACTTCTTGGCATCTTGCCAGCACAGCCTTTAGAAATGTGCTTATAACATGTTTTTGGGTGCCGCTGTACAATGAAGATCAGGTGAGAGGCTAATTGAGAGGCTTTTCTTTTTTTCCTGTAATAGTTGTAAAAATGTGTATTTCTATGACAATGAAAGGCTTTGTTTCATAAGAGCTAATGCAAAGCTTTACTTTTTCTGTCAGCTTACGGAAGTCTGACAAATGTTCTCCACACCATTCTTCTCTTTCTAATTTGTTCTTAATCTTTACCCAGAACAAATTCATAGTAGGTTTAAAAAAATATAAACTTGAAAAGTGCCAAAGAACTTTCTGAGAGGAGCCTAGGAGCACAGCTTTTGCTTACATTTAAAGGAGATGCAGGCATGGAACTAATTCCTGAAGTGGACTTTTGGTACTTGTGCCAAAATTCTGTACTGTCTGATGCTTTATGCACTTGTTTTGGAACAACTTGGTGCAGAATAGATGTGTTTTCAATAGCAAAGATGTATAGCAAAAGTTTGATTTAGTTTGTTTTATTTAAGTAGCTGAAAAAACTGCAGGCCTGCACCTGGATTGCTAATGAACTTGGAGCTGCCTGCAGAGCTAGAAGGAAGAACTGGTGCTTATGTTCAGATTTTGCTCCACAGGTTAGCTCAGAACTGTTAGAAGGGTCACAGTAGATGGAGACAGCTGCACTTCGAGATTCTTCAGGCAGGTTAGACCTGAAATATTCTAGTGTAGGTAGGCTAATATACTTGCTTGTGTTATTTATATATATATATTTATGACGGTGTTCTTGTAATAAGATGCAGGCTGGACTCTGCACTATCAATGACTACTTGAGCTAGAATTTCCAAATTTCAGACTACGTTTGTTCTTAATCACAGTTCTCCAAACTGTGTTATTAGAAGTGCTGTACAGCTCTGTTTCTTTCCATGGCCCAGGCATCTCCTCTTCTGTGTTAGCAATCCATGGCATATTCCTTGTGGGATTATTGGCTCACAGCAGTTCAGGATCCAAGACATGAGTATCGAGGTTTTAAGTTTGTTGTGGGCCTCCGAGCAAATCTGAGCCTGGGAAATTTGCCTTTCCATACACATGACTCTTAGGATTATCTGCTAAGATAAAAATGGATATTTGTCTCTGCAGGTGACAGAACTGCGAGGACTGGCCACTATTCTAGTTGGAGTTGTGACATGTGACAGCATAAACTTCTTTACAACCAAGCCTCAGGCAATCATTGTGGATATAACTGAGCTGGGCACTATCAAGCTGCAACTGGAGGTCCTCTGGAAGTAAGTACAGCTTAAAATGAAAAAAAAAAAGGAGCCAGAAAAAGTGAAATAAAGATTCTGAAGTACATGTATGTCACTTAGCAGCATTCAGCATCGTAGTCCTCTTTCTATTTGCAGAGCAGGTGCAGGATAGATGGAAGCCTCACACTTCCTTACAGCAACTCCAGCTGCTGGGCCTGATCTCTGGATCTGTGGGTCCAGCCCTCTGGAATGGAAGCACAGGGTGGAAGGGGCAGAACCTATTTCTGTGACCCTTCAGTTCTTTCTACTGTTGTTACCACAGCCATGGCTAGCCACAAGAGCTGATTGTAAGCTTTTGCTTACTTTAGGACTGTTCTGAATGAGCATTCAACTCTAGCTCCAATCGATGTATGTACATAAACAATCTTAAAGATTATGAAATGAAACTGCAAGTAGCAGCTTCTGGGCACAATGGAAAAATATACTTACTTGGAATCTAGGACAATTACTATTACCAGGCCACAAGTCATTAAAAAATTAAGCTTCTCTGTAGACTTAGCACCTTTGTATTTGCACTATGACCACAGTTGTTGATATAAGGCCTGTTTGTGCACAGCAGGGAAGCCTGGTATACAGATGCACATTTAAAACAGCTCATTATTTTCATGGTGCCTGTGACTTGTTAAATTGTTTTATACTTGTTTGTACTAGTTTTTGTAGTTGATTACTGATGTTATTAAAAACAAATTCTCACTTTTGTGGATGCTGCACTCAAACTTCTTCTCTAGACATACCACTATAGATTTTTCAGGTTGTACTGTTACTTCTGCTTTGTTTTCTTATTTGGGTGTACCACTGCAGTCTTGCCAGGCTTTATCTTCTAGTTGTTCTTCTAGAGTTCTTCAACTCTAGTTGGTTATGTCTGAGTAGATGTATGATGAGCCTAAATTAGTCCTTTCCCAACAGCAGTATCTGATATGTATTAATTTGTAGCTCTGTCTACAGATCATATGATAACTCTCTGAACTTATTAAGATTTTTTTTATTAGTAAGAAAATGAGTGACCTGCTTTCCTGAGAATCTCTGAAGAAGTGAGGAAAATGATTTTGCAGCTCATTAACTACTACTTTTTCTTGGGTTTGTGAGGGTTTGGGCTGTGTGAATACCCTGATATAAGCTTGCCTGTAGGATGGTGGTGTTTTTTTTTCCTACCTTCCTAACATGGCAAGCAGTTATATAATTCAGTAAACTTCACAACAGATCAGATTGGTATTGGGGAAAGCTTCTCAATTTCTTGGGAAGCAAAGGCAGCAGCTTAAAGCTTGGGAATGTCAGTGCACAGTGAGCATCTTGTCTGTAACAAATCAAAACTTCTTAGCTTTTTCCCATTGCTACTGTGCAGGGATTAATTTTAGTTGTTTTAGTGAAATGCCTAATTAAAAAGTGGGACATTCTCACTTGTACTTCTGTATGTGGCTTATTGTGGTGCTCAGTTCTTCTCAGCCCACCGTGTCCAAGGAGCTTTTGAACATGACATCAAAGATTGGCCTTTCCAGAAGGTCCTTATGGATCTAGGCTCTCTCCGGGAAAAGTAGAAAGTGAACAACGTTTAGATTAGGAAGGGCACCATGTAATGGCTTGCAGGTCAGACTCATTCATGACACAGCCTTAAACAGTGCTTCTCTGACCTAGGTGGCTTCTTGTTTTCTTAAAAATCACCAAAAATTAAAAATAAAAAGTTTGTATGTGTTTAATGTGTGGTCTGCCAAATAGATCTTACCAAAAGAGAAACATTTCCCTGCCCTTTGGGTAAAATAACCAAATGTATTTTATAGTCAGGCTTGAAAATCAAGTCTTAATACCCTATTTCTACTTTTAATTACCTTTGGAAGCATAATTTGACTTGAACCTTCACTTAATTGTTGACATAATTAAACCTTGACATAATTAGATTTAGTCTTTTAAGCCACAAACGGGAGAACTGCCACATGAATAGGAATTGCAACAGAAAACCTTTGAGTGCTGAGAAACAGTTTTCAGGTTGACTTTCTGGGAGAGAGGAAAGAAGAGCTTTATTGATCAGCATGCTATTTTCTGCCTGCCTTTTGTGTATACTGTGGTTCTTGAAAACCCATTCTGTTGAACTGTAAATACAATTGGGCTGAAACATAAGGTTTAGCACCAACATCTGAAACTTATTTTCAAACACACGCACTGCTCCAAGTTGATGAGAAACAAACTCACACAGCAGAGTTCTGTGTGCACCTGTTGTTTATGGCAACTTTTTTCCTCCTGAGATCTAACATTGGGTATCAGTAGATGTTTTGGTGAGTTGCTGCAGCTGCTCTGAGGCTTCTGAAGCCTCTAACTTATTTGAGAAGCTGAGCCACTAATTAGTTGGGTAACAAAGCCTTACTCGGGAAGCTTACTGTGACCATGCATTGTATGTTCTGTGAAGCTTCTTACTTGTGGCAAAGCACATACATATTCTCATTTGAATCTGAAAGCAGACATGTTCATGTTACAATTAATGACAAGTGTGTGGAGTGAGGATGCTGCAAGCTGCATGATACCTTTTTTTTTTTTTAATGTAGAAACAGATTTTAAAATGAAAGACCTTTTAAAGGCCCATTGAACTTTTGGGTTTTGACATTTGCATGTGTTACAATTGGGGAAGGAAGTAGAGAAAAAGGGGGTATGGGGCTTATATGGGCTCTTAGACACCCCTAGCAAAGTCAGATGCTAAACAAATATTTGTCACTTCTTCCCAGTCACCCCACAGTGTACACATACACCTCCAAAACTCCCACTGGCTTTAAACCCTCTACACAGCTTTAAGGCAGAAGGGACTACAGGCAGAATACTGTTTGCAGAAGTGCCTTTCTTATAAGGGAAGTCTTTTCTCCCTATGATTTCAAGCCTAACATTCCTAGAAATCTCTGTGGAGTAAAAGAGACATGCTTTAATGAACTCTAGGTATAAAATTTGTTTTTGCCCTTATGGAAAGTGCATACTGAGTGATGGCACGCTTGTGATGGAGGTTTGAGATCACTTCTCTTTTGTGCTAACCTACACCAATGGCCCTCTAACAGGTTTACTTCATACTTGCTCTTGCTGAGTTTACTTGCTTGGCTTTTGTCACTGTCAATAACTGGCATAAATACGTATGTATGTTACAAATTTTTTTCTTCCAAAAGAGCAGTATGAAGAAAAGCCCTTCCTATTCTGGGATACTGTATGGTTTCTCAGATGATAGCCTATGTCTCCAAAGCAAGTGGTATTTGTGACTGAATTTTCTAGAAATGTGTAACTTAAATTATGTTGATACCTGCCTGTTGCAGCAGCTTTTGACTGGCAAAGACGGGCCCTCCTATGGCATTTGGGACAAACATCACCCAGCTTTTGGAGCTGGCAATAAACGAGCTGGGAGAAGGACTAGCAGTGATGCACTTTTTTGGTAGTTAATCCCCACTTGGAATTTCCCTGTGTATGAGAAGATTTCAGCTGTGCATCTCTGCTGTGTTTCAGTTCTGTGGTAGGTGTTGGGATCCTACCAAGTGGATTCTCCAGAGCACTTCAGCACAGAAGGCAGGCTGGCAGCCTCTTCTTCTTTGACAGCCTGTTTGTTTACAGGAATGAGAAGTTACATGGTGATAATTCAGGCTGTTTCTATTTTCAAAGATAAAGCACTCTAAAACAGCTGCTTTTTCTTTGATTCAAGAATGACTAAACAAACCTACCAGCCATGCCCAAATGTCCCTGAAAGGCAAGCTTTCACTACGGACCTGCTTTGTGAGGAATCCAAGTGCAGATCACTCTTCCACTTCTAAATGTATATTTTCTTTAACTAGGCCACTAGTCTTCTGGCCTCTAATAAAAGTTCCTTCAGCTCCTTTATAGATTATGCCATGAGGAGCATGAATGAGCTTGGGCCTGTTGCAGAATTGCTTTGCTGGCCAGTTTGGCAGGAGCCTTGGTTTCTTTTGCCAACCAAAACAGCAGTCTGAATTCTGTCTCATGGAGGACAAAAAGAAAGCCTGTATTCTCTTCTCAAAACTTCAGTTAGCACCCCGTTCTGGGATCTAAGGGTACCAGCCAGCCACAACCGCTCTTGTAATTTCTGCCTGCTTTGAGCATATGCTGGCCTGGCTCACAAGGGTTTCTGGAGAAGGAGAGAAACTCTGAAGGGAGAATTTAAAAAAAAAAAAAAAAAAAAAGTCTGTTTTTTTTTCCTATTTTTTGTGGGGGGGAGGAGGAGGGAGCACAAGGGGAAACATCCCTACTGACTGTCCTGCTATAGCCAAAAACTTATATGAATAAATGCTCATGCGGGTATGTTTAGGTAGTAGTCCATCAATATACTGCTGTGCTTTGGATCCAAATGATGTTTCATAGCTTAGTCCAATAACAAGCTGTGCCAATCTTGACAAAGGTGCTCATTATGCCACAATGACCAGCAGAAACCAAACTCTGATCACCCTGCTAAATTTGCATCTATGTTTGCATGTATAGTCATTAGAAAAGGAAAAAAAATCTCACAACATGTTAATAAGTGAGCCTGCTCCAGCTGACCAGAGTTTTTGTTGGGATTAATACAAGCCTGGATCTGCAGGCTTAATGGGGACATTCAGATATGTCTATCCACCATGAGCCTTATGGCTATTTAATACATGGTGGGACTGGACAGAAGGAGGCTGGTTTAGGTGCTCTCCTGCCACTGGGAGAGAGGAGTTCAGAGCCTTGGGAGCTGAAGACAGAATTGAGTTCAGCTCTTCTGAGCTCTGCCCCATTACTTATGTTTCTCTGAGGATGTAATCCAGGAAGTGTCCTCCTTACACACCCAACAGCAAAATGAAGAAGGGCGAGGAAATGGTAGAAATCTCAAGTATTTCACCCCTCCGCAGGGTGTGGGTTTGATGAAACATCTCGCTGGTATCCGTGCACGGTGCTGGCAAGGCTGAGGCACCTGAGTGTGTCAAAGTGCAAAGCTGCTGATGTCATGGGAGGTTCAGTCTAGGAAACAAAAGCTCTGATGAGTTGTAAACCTCTTCAAGGTCAGGCTGGGGACGTGTTTTGGACATGAATGCTGAAGTCCTGCAGAGGTGCTAAGGCAAGCTAAAGGAGTGTCATACACAGCATTAGCGTTGGCCTTAACGAAGGCGTTGTAATGTCATGCATTTTGGTTAATGAGTCATAAGCAAAGGTCAACGTGTATTTGGCAACGTAGAAATAGAAAGAGGACAACAAAAATGGTCAGAGTTGGGGTCACTTTCATCACAAGGAGACACTAAATAGGTTAGAATTTTTCACGCTTGAAAAAGTGTTGCTGTGTAGGCGGAGGTGTTTGCGGTGCGCAGTGTGAAAAGGAGGCGATTAGCCACAGAGGACATCCCCAGTCAAGGTACTTGTTCTGTGTTTCAAAGTTAAATAACCAAACTTCTGCGTCCTTCTGACCTACACGGATCTTGTGTCAGTGATTACAAGAAGTGGCTAGACAAGCTAAGGGCAAGTTTGTCTGCTAGTGACGATTGATGGCAATATTCTGCTTATGAAGTCTGGCGCGTGACACATCTAAGCTATGGATTGCCTGAAATTTGAGTATACGTCTGGGGAAGGCCTGCTACAGCCGACCTGTCTCCTTTGCGTTTCCTTACTGGCTTCTGTCAACGTCAAGCTGTTGGGTGAGATGGGCTCTTAGATCTGTCCCAACGTGATGCTTTGTTTGCTGTACGATGTGGAGCAGGATGACAGATCGTACCCAAAGAGCTTAAAAGCAAAAGATAATAGATGGTTTTGAGCAGACTTGATTCTTTCCAGTGTGTCTTCACCCTTCTTTTCGCTCTCTCTTCCTGCTTTCTGCAGTAACAGCGACTGCCTGCAATTGTGGAGGGCAGCTCTGTCACTGTGTTTTGCTAGAGGGTACCAGTAATTGTCAAAGGGGCAAGATGATTTACCTTGTTATTCCTGTGCCTTTCCTACCAAGAGTCATTTTGCATTACTGTATTGCTATATTACAAGCTACAAATGAAAAACCTGAGGAATGGATCCCTGTGTCTCTTAAGAAGCACCATGGATGGAAGCAATTTGCTTCCATCAGTAAACAGCAGGCTTTGGCTACGAGGTTCTTGCTGTCAGAAATCTGATGTATTTTCTACACAGTGAGACAATACAGATGGTTGTTAGTGTGACTGCATGGAACTGGCCTGTTTGATGAACCCCAGCTGGGTGACACTGGTTAATTTTGCCAATTAACCTGTATTAGGCGAGCTCCCATAGCGTTACCTCCATGCTGAGGATGACAGTGGTGAGTTGCACTGCGGGATGCTGTCCATGTGCAACGTGAGAAGTTAAGAGGAGGGAAATTAATTACAGTTTTCCTTTATTATATGTTTTATATTTCCTTTCTGTCTGATACGTGTGTCTCTCACAAGCTGTCCAGTGCTATCAGCAAGCAACCCGTACCATACTTGCCACCATTGTTGGTCACGTAGAAAACTACAGCGGGACAGGGAACTTGTCAGACTGCTGGTGTGTTGGGCTCTTCTTCCAAAAGCTTTGGCACAGGTCTCTTTCTAAAGGGTGTTGTGAATTCTGTGTAAAATATACACTATTTTCACCTACTTCCTTCTTTCTCTGCCGGTGCAACCAAAGATACTGGTCAGAGAGGCAGTCCCTCTTTCCTTTTATTCATCCTGGTTTTTATTAAATGTCACAATTCAAATCCTAACTAATCCTGTTGCTAGACGTAGCTGTACTTGCTGGTTGTACTGACACATGGGTTTTTGTTTCTTTTGCTACAGACCCTTTGACACGGAGAACCTGTTTTTGTCACCTGGAACCACTGCCAAGTTTTCTGTGGGTAGCAGGAAGAACTCTTTATACAACTGGACCCCACCAAATACCCCCAGCTTCAGAGAGAAATACTATCTGGTGAGTATGCTGAGGAAAACAAGATGCGAAGCGCAAACCTAGGATGTGATTTGTGGATTAGATTAGGCTATTGAAGAGCATACTCAGAAATGTGGAAACATGTAACATTCTAGAACCATTGCAGATTATCTGGGGGCTTCTTTGTATTTTAGTTTTATTATTTTTACTTTATTTTAACCTCTATTAATTTGAGTATCATTTTAGATTTTGTAGAAGAAAATAAATTCCTGCCAAATATGCCTCTGAGCAGCCAGGACGATGGGGATCTGGGCGCGTTTCTAATACTCTGTAGTGGGAATCCAACTAGGATCCAGCCTCAGTAGTCATGGCACAGAGCAGTACCTTAGAACTGCTATGTAAAAAAAAGCCGCCTTCTTCCTCAGCTCAGCTTTTTGCCAAGGGTAGCCTAAGGGAATAGAAAAACCTCTCCATGCATTCAAGAGGGTTTTAATCTAGTGGTTGTTTTATACAATCTCTCTGTTTCTGCAATGTGTCTCAAATACTGATAAGGTTATATATACATTTCCCTAATATCAAGTCTAAGTCAGATTTGGTGTTGCCTCACCATGCCAGGAAACCACAGCTCTCTGTCTTAGGTGGTGTCTTATGCTTTTCAGTTATATATGTGTTCACCTATACATTTGTTTGCTGCAGTCTGTTTTGCAACAAAGACAGAACCAAGGGGATGTAAGTGAAGAAGCTCAGCCTCCCAGCATACTGAGCTATTTGGCTGCCTGTGATTTTGGTGTGCATGAGAGGAGTAAGGCTCACGATCCCGTGGAGACGAGTGAAGCAGACTCGTTCAGCTCTGAAGATCTGAAAGGGACAGAGTCTAGAAATGCAACTCCAGCTGCAGACCACAGGACATTGCCATTGGTGATTATTCAAGAGGCTTGTGCAGAAGAGCAACATCCACTTCCAAATCACGCAACTCTGGACATTCTGAAGAAGACTCCGTGTGCGGATGGATTTCCAAGTAACCCACCTAGTTTTCTGAGTCGTGGCAAAGGCAGCAGAGCTTCTTTCAACCAGACCAGAAATCGCCATCTGACAGAACAAGAAAACATTAGCCAGAAAAGCTTGAATGCTGCAAATGATGTAAAACTAGATGGATGTACAAAGTCAATCGATAAAACTCTCCAAGAACTGTTAAATTTGCTGAAATTACATGATGTCAGGCAAGCCCAACTGGAGAAATTGGAATACCAAGTTTTATCTATGAGGGATAAACTAAAGGTACGGTGGTGTTTTACATTTGGTAGCTTCCACTGCAGGTAGTTTCCACTGTTACTCCTGGAGCTGTAAAAATTTCGTGACCCTGTAGTGGGTTTGATATCAGAATGTGTCAGTGGCATGTTCCCCAAAAATAAGTTTGGCCGCCAGAGGTCAGTCAGTACTCAGAAAAGGCAGCCTTGAGAGCTGACTACACAGAAGCGCTGTGTTGCATCTCTCAGGGACAGCCTTCAGATGCCATTCAGAGGTCAATAACCTGGAAAAAAAGTAAATTGAGAAACTGCATGCAGTCAAACTGGAAACAAGTCTGGGTTAAACAGAATCTGAAAAGTTCTTGGATACTACACTGACATGCAGCAGCCTGCTCAGATTGCTACTTCTAGATATAAAACAGGGAATATGACACTAATAGAAGGTGATGCAGAGAGAGTCAGCCCTCGTACCAACCTTCACAGGTGTGGAAATCCAAAGAGGAATACAAACAGACTAAAACATTGAAGCATGCTGCAAAATTAATTAGCAGCATTATTTTGGAATCAGCGATGTACCAAGAGCTAGCTTTCCTGATGTGTTAAGAATAAAGGAAGAAAAGCAAACTGGTTTGCTGTTCAGAATGATATGAAAATCAACATAGAAATCATGCAAAATGGTTTGATGCCTGCAAATAACAGTATTTGTCCCTCCATTCTATCAACAGCTAAAGACGCTTCATCACAGACGTTCCTCTATGGAAAGTTTAATGGTGGAAACAGTGCTGGAAAGTTTTGACTTTTTAAACGCTGACTGCAGTGCTGATGAGCTTTCATTATTTGGAAGTATAAGAACAGCCAGTATCAGGTAGGTACCTGCAGCACTTTATTACAGGGGACAAGGAAAAGGGGAAAGCAAGGCTAATCCCAGGGATACTTACTGATAGACTCTGCTTGGCTAGGTATGAATTGCACAGAGCTGCTAATGGTATGAATATCCAGGATAGAAACATTTTTTTTAATTATTTTTGAATGCTCTGAGCTTCATTTCATTCATTCAACAGCACATACAATGACAGCACGTTTCAGTCCCTGAGCTGTGACATGAAAACAGAAGCAAGAGGTGTAACTACTGGTGATGACAACTTAGATGTACTTTTGATAACTCATCTGAAGCTGTGCAAAGCTCTTTTACAGGTAAGAGGTAGCCTGTGGGTTTCCAGGGCGGTGGTGCAGGATGGCAGTCGTGTCCCAGCAATGCGCCGTGTACATGTATGTGGGCAGATCACATCATACAATACACCTGCCTTTTTTCAGCCTCTTGTTTTTTATGAAGTTCTAACAAATGCTTCTGTGCCCAAAGCAGGCTGTCGAAGAAGTAGGATAAATTTTGGTTGCATTGTGTGTCAATAAGAGGTTGTTGTTATTATTATTATTATTATTATTTAATGAATGGAAAAACTGCTGCCTCTAGAAAGAACTGGTAGCATATTGGGAAGAAAGAATTCTTATCTCTCCTTGAGACCTTATTCCTTTGCTGATTTCTGTTAGTGGTCAAGCACATTATTGTCTTCAAAGTATCACCTCTGATTTGGATGGCCTGCAGAGGACAGTTTATCTGTTACTATTGATCTGCTACACAGTTGTCAATGGATGGGGCAGAGAAGAATTTTAAATGCTGGACAGTCTTTTCCAGGAGAATGTGATTTATTTGTCCTGTTCTGCTGAGCAGCTTTGTACTCAGAAGTGATGGGAAAAGAGGCCTTTTGAGAAAAGCTGGTGTTTTCTCAGATTTTAGAAGCTTGATTCTATGAAACAAGTACTCATTCATCTTGAGCTTGGTACTGCCTTTGTTTCAGCTATTGAGATGAGCATGTTGCATTTCAGAAACTCAGATCACTAAACATAGCCCAGATTGTCCAGGAGAGCGTTTTGGAAGAAGTGTCAGAGCAGACACAAGTCCTGGGGGATGTCTTGGATACGTCTGTTGAAGAAAGTGAGTAACTGCATATTGTCAAGGCATTCCAGAGGTGTGAGAGTTACAGGTTGTGCTGTTTGAGCTTTCCCAGATACATCAGAGTTTCATTCTAGATTCCTTACAAGCATTCATGTAAGTAAAAAAGTTCTTACAGATAAATTCTAAATTCTTAGAAAAAACATGGCTCATGTTCAGAGGTTTGGAGTTTTCTGCTTGTGAAGGTACATAAGAAAGGATCTCTAAAATGCTACCAGCAAGAGGCATGCCACTTCTAAGAAGTGGAAATGGTTAAACTCACAGAAAGTTCTTTTGAAACTCAATTCAGATGATAGGAAAAGTTACTAATGAACTGAGGGGCAGTAGAGCTCTGCTAGGCCTCTCATTCAGGTCTCCTAATGACAGTTTGGTACCACAACCAAAGGTTGCTGAAATCAGTGCTTGCAGATGTTTAAAATACTGGAAGCAAATCTCCAGCTTTGAACTAAGCCTTCTATATAATGCAAATACAATTTATGCTGATACATCCCTAGATACGCCATGCAGTGCATAATTTCTTATGTAAAATCCAAAATCTGCTAGAGTTCACTGTTTTCCTAAAATGTGACTTTTCAGTTATTCAGAAGACTAAGAAGAAGAAGCACTATCTGAAAATATGGAGTGATCTCGCAGAGCCTGGCAGTATCTTGTTTGCTTCAGCAGAAAGATTCCATCATGCACTGAAATACACATCAGCGCTCAAAATGAAGGAAAAATACCCTGGTCAATTAGAAGCAGGTACCAGTGCATTCCTTGAACACGAGGCTGCTTTGATTTCATTTTGTTGCAAGGATTAAAATTGTCCTTGTGCCTTTAAAGAACATATTTGTTTTAAGCAGCTTACATCTAACCAACTTTTCCTTTTCTCATTTGTTCTTTTCTGTGTTATCCCTTCAGTATTGCGGAGATTTCTAGAGCAGATTGTCACCTGTGATGGATTGCTCCCCTCTCCATACCACCAAACAGAACCAGTTACTTTATTCCAATTTTATAACTACCTGGAGAAACATCACATTACCAGCCTGGACAAACACTTGGGAAAACTTGCTAAAGAAGGTAATGGCAACACTTGGCTTCTTCATTCAAATCATCAAGCCCAGGAGCTGCTTCTTGCTACTCAGGTTACTGGTGAAGTAAACATCCAGAGCAAAAAACAGCCCTACCATTGCATTGCCAATTGGTTTTGATTTTATTTCCCCTTATAACCATGCACGTTTAGTTAGAACAGGACAGGCATGCTTGACTCTCACATCTGACCAGGTAGAAACAAGCAGAGGTGTGAAGGAAACATTCATCCTAAGTGTTGTAAAAAAAGGGTTCTGTGATGTACTGAAGTTAGAGCAGAAACTAATTTGGCAGCAACCTACAGCTAGACTCAAGAACTGAGTAGATGTCTGTAGCTTTGTGTAGCTATATCAGCAGCAATGACACAGTTAATAGCAATAAAATTTCAGAGGTTACTAGCACATGCTTTCTAAGAGGTAGCCAGAGTCTTGCCAAAGCTTAGTCCAATAGCACTTTAAAATTTAGCCTGTATCAGAAACGAATCATTTTTAAAATGGTCCTGATACTGGACACATCTTTAGTCTTATTTTTGATGCAGGTGATTTATCAGGTAGGGGAATGAGGATTTGTGCATTATTAGTGAAGAAAAACTGGAATACTCTTCAAATTAAAAATGTCAATCCAGCATCTGATTCCTTTTTTTTTTAAAAAAAAAAAACACAAACATACAAGGTTTTCTTTTTGACCAATACAGCAAGATTTTTCAAAGCTGCTTAAAGAATTATTTGGCTTGATCATTTTTTCCCCTTGTTTTAGGACTGTTCTGGTTGTCCTAATGTCCAAAGGTACAGGAGTTCTCTTGCATCATATGTTGTACTTGAGGCACCCAGGTCTTATAAGGACCTTGTTGCATCCCATGAACGAGAATTGTGATACTAGTCACTGCTCCATTTGTCTGACAGTCTGGCATAGGAGGAAATGAAACAATGAAAGGGAAAGAAGACAGGACGGTCAAAGGGGCAGTCATCCTGATGTGCTTCCTGCCGTGCCTAGCTTGCTTATTAGCCATGTGAATAACTTCATAGGCTGAAGGAGACAGAGTTAGAGAGGAGTTTGTCTTGTCTTGAAAATGTCTTCATTTGTCATTTATTGAGGTTAAGTTGTTTCACTTGCAGTGATGCTAATTGAGGAGCTGCAGTGCCCTGGACGGCTGAAGACTCTTAAAAAATTGAAAGGAAAGCGATTGAACAAGCTCCAACCTCTACCACAGACTTTACGGCTGCTTGGGATTTTACAGCTGGATGACAACCACCGCGTCAGCAAAGCAGCCACATCCTGCCTCTCCCGTGCAGCAGCAAACAAGAACTTTAGGGAAAAGGTTAAAACTTACAGTGCTTATCAGCTTCTCTAAGTAGGTGCTGGAATACATGCAACTTGTTTTATCCTAGAATAGTACCGTTGCACTTCATCAATCTATTCTTGAGCCTAAACCATGAAGTGCTCAACTGATTTCTCTGTATCCTTTATTCAATTTCACGTAGGTAAAATAGTGCTAAAGTCAGTCTGAATTTGAGTGCTCAGTTACGCTTAGGTTATAAAACCTTTCTTCTTATCTGTGTTTTTTTTTTTTTTTTTTCCTTTAGGCTCTCCTTTTTTACACTGATGTTTTAGCTGATTGTGATGCAAGACTTCAGCAAGCTGCGTGTTTGGCCCTTAAAAACCTCAGAGTAAGTATTTATAGCTCTACTTGTTTTTTGCTGCATCTGGCAAAAACTGCTGGGTGATGAAGTGTTATCTATTTTTTTTAAGCTTGTAGAGTTACTTTTACAGCTTCCTTTTATTTGAGATTGATGAATACTTTGGCTGCCACAAGTCTAAAATACTATTGCTGTTATTTAAAAGGCAGCAGGTAGAGGGAGCTGCAGTTAGCTTGGAGTGTCTCAATTTGATTTGACGAGCACAGCAAAATGGTAGAAAGGATGCTTCCTAACTTCTACAGTACTGTCACAGCAGACGGTATCTGATGGGGAGACACCTAGTGTGTATGAAAATGAGCAGTGGAGTCATTTGTATATGGAGTCGGTTCTTACATTTTAACTGTAGAAATTAGAAGTTAAATCAGTTCATTTTATTTTAATAATAAGCGATTATAGTCAGAAAATAAAAGTAATATTTGTATTGCTATTATAAGAAAATTTCAGAATAGCTTTAAAGCTATCTAACAGCTACAAGTCTGTAATAAATTGTTTGCACTCGGGATTATTGTGAGTACAGTTTCTACAAACATGAAGTCACAAGATAGGCCCCACAAACCGGTCTTACTCTCAAATAGTCAGATTTGCAAAGCAGCTGTTGCCATTGCACAACCTGTCAGTGAAGGTCCTGATTGCTTTATGGTAATTTAACAATACTGCAGCAGTGAACTGCATGCTAGAGTTTTAACTTTCTCATGCCTTGAAAAGAGAAAGCAGCAGAAGTGAGATTGTGCTTGTAAAAATCAAGTACAAGCTTATATGTTAGGGGAGAAAAGAAAGATCACAGTTGAAGTCAGATGCAAGAAGGGATGGGAGTCAGTTTGGAATGTGTTTATCTTGCAAAAAAAGTGTTCCTCAAAATGCTTGCTGAAGCTACCATTGGAATTTTACTTTTTTTCAAACAGGCTGTAGAGAGTATAGAGCAGGTCGCCCATCTGTGCCAATCTGAAATAGAGGAAGTTAGGAACGCTGCCCGGGAGACAACGTTGTCCTTTGGTAAGTCTCGTGTACAGCTTTCAAATATAGATTCTGAAGAGCAGCATGAAATAGGTAAAGCTTCAGGCCTGTCTGGTTTTGCACTATGTGTTGTACAGCATGAACACATGTGGGACAATGGAAATTTTTCATGAACAGCTCTTTCATATACTGTTAAATTACTACCATTCGTAATCTTCCCCTCCTAGCTTTTGTAAAAATGGCATTTGGACCTGGCAGAGTACAGTAATGCTGCTTCTAGCTCTGTGAGATTAGCTAAGATGATCTTTTATAAAGCAGAACACCAACAGAATAGTTCAGCCTGGTAGTCTGACATAGCCACCTACAAACCAACTAGTTAGTGCTAATTTTCCTGTTCTCCACACTGCTGCATTCTGAATATTGGAGTGATCACGAGTACAGACAATATTGTTTTGTACCTGTTACTTCACCTGAATTTTGTAGATACACAAGTGGGGTTGACCTGGTAATGAAATGTCAATGTTCTTAATTTACTGCTGTGTAATATGTGTACTTCTACTAAAGCCAAAGGACCATTGTCTAAGATAAGTTTATTAAATGCTTAGCTGCTGGGAGGATGTCCACTTGTCAAGGAGATGGTTAATTTCTCTGTTCTTGGTAAAAAACAGTTAAGATCATGCTTAGTTCTGGGGCTCTCCAGGCTTACCTCATAGAAATACTAAGATTCACGTGTATTACAAAACAGGTTTTCCAGTTGTGATGCTCCAAATTAATGTGTTTACAGAAAGCTTGATTGTTTTTGTTTTTTGTTTTTTGTTTTTTGTTTTTTTTTTCCCATGGTGTCTTCTAGCATTTAATAAAAATTATATATATATTCCTTTAGAGATATGTTTGTTCAGAGCTTAATACGAACTCTCAGGATTGACAAAGTCACAACAGAAGTATTTCAGTGTAGCAGTTTTCTCAGGGTGTTTCTAACGGCTTTCTTTTCCTCAGCATGGGATGTATTTTCTCTTTCTCCATAGGTGAAAAAGGACGACAAGCCTTTGAGAAAATGGACAGAATTTGCTGTGAATTAAGAGACACTGTGCAGCAAGAGGCTGAAATTGAAATCACCGTATTTTAGTAGTGGAATATGAGGAGCTAAATCCCACCTTCCTCACAGCCACAGCTGAGTACTGAGGATTTAGTTTGTTCAGGGTCTGGTTTATTGACACCCTGCTATGTACATGCTGCGTACTGACAGAGTACAGCTTTGTTTCCAAAGTGGGCACAGTTTGCAATCTAAACCAAATAGACTGGAATCTGTATTTTCTTACTCTCAGCACATGATGAAATCTCAAATCCAGGTTGCCACTTGAGTTAAATCTCCATCTCATTGGAACTGGCTGCCTCTGCATGAACTAGAATTCAAATATGATCTATTTTCACTTAAAATATTTTATTAATTTGGCATTTCTCTAAGAGGAAATAAATGATCACTCTCCTGCAGTCCATCTAGAAACTAGCAGAAAACAGCTTGCTTATATCAACTGCCACATAAATCAGAAAAATCTAGAAGCCTTATTAAGTGGCTACCATTCTTTTTTTTATATACAATTTAGTTGCAGAAGAAAAACTTGTTACTTTAAAAGTCATTTTTGGGGTAATCACTGCAACTTAGGCCAGGCTCAAGCAAGGCTTGAGAAGGGTAAGTAAGTACTGAGTGTAAATTCTCAGCAGTTTACAAGGGGAATTTATTTATCAGTTATTATCCATGTACAGATCAGACTGCCCTATGGACAGATCTATGTAAGTAAGTTTAAAAAGAAAAACAACAAAAAAAACACAAAAACCATTTTATTCCTTTAGTCATAGACCAAGGTTTTGCATAGTCACATACCCATTGTCAGGCTCCTTACTCAACACTTATTTAATGTAGTGGAGGCTAGTCACAAAGAGAAGTCTGGCTTCAGGTAAAATACTTGAAAGGGTTTGGCTTGTGTGTATATATTTTATATATATAGTACTTTTCTATTCAGTATTTATTTGTTGGATTTCATACTTTTTTCCCTACAATTCTAATAAAACTTATGAGACAAATTTCTGCAAGTCCCTCACGCTGGTGTATGTCCAGAGTAATGGGAACAGGGATAAGGCAATCAACCCCTCATGGCAGGTAAGATACTGTGTATTGAGCTAGGATGTGTATCAAGGAAGCACGGTGTGTATTTCTTCTAGCTATGGGACGTTCAGGCTTGCATGGGTGAAACAGGCTGGGCTGTCTGCAGTATTTCACTTGGGAACATGCAGCTTCCTGAGACACTTCAACTCTATACTCACGAGCTCTGTATAGCAGGACCGTGGTGCCAGGTCATCCTATTCCATGGCAAAGTTTAACCAAACTTAGAAGGGGCTGCTTATCTATGGTTTAATTCTGCTTTCAATTTACAGATTTATTTAAAAGCAGGGGAACAACATTTTCCTACTTTAGTAAGTTTTCTGCTTCCCCCTAGCCTCATTCACCTAATCTGCCCCTTCACTACAAAAAATAAAGAGAACATTTTGTATATGTATAAAAAAGTTAAAGTACAGTAAAAGACAAGTAAATTCTTACAGTAATATTTAAAACATTTTCCAGTAAGAAAAATAACAAACATTGGGTTAGTCCAGAGCTGCAAGTGGTTCAAAATAGGAGGCCCTGGCTCTAGCACTGAGAAGACAGGAAGCGATGAGACACGTACCTTCTTTAAAAAAAGAATTTTATTGTAACAACTAAAATGAGAACTGAAAACTTGGATGGGAAATTGAAAAACTGTACAATTTTACTCTAACCTCTGAGGTCTTTGCAGTGGCTTACACAAAAGACAAGATACCTGAAAATGTATTATACCAAAACATTTAGCTTTTTTGTTTTTTATTTTTTTAAAAAAGTTTATTCTATGGCAATCTGTAAAAAAGAAAGACCTGATGAGTAAATATTTGCTTAAGGCATATAGCAGAGCAGCTCACTAACTTTCTAACAAGTTTAACATGGATATTTGTCCATTTTCCAAGAATAGGTTAACCAATACACCCACTTTGAAGTGCTACTGTATATACACACCCGAACTACTACATACATATACAAGACATCAAAACAAAAATGTTTACAGTTCAGTATTATAAGCCTTATACACACCTCACTGGTCTTGTGGGCTACTTCACTGTCTACCCCAGGACAGCGCCAATTCTCCTGGATTTGGAGCAGATGAAAGAAATAGCAAAGTACATTGGTGGAAGGCGGGGGGGGGGGGGTTCAAAACTTACTTCCTCTGCAGGAAGTTTCTCTTACTAGAATAATTTGCAAAAACAGTGCAAGTGAATTATTCTAGATTCAAAGGAAGATGCTTTATTTTATTGTCAAGCCTAAAATTTAAAGCTTTCCTTCTTGGAAAGAGCATAGCTGGGGGGGGGGGGGGGGGGCCACTATTTCAAGAACCTCTATTTTTGCACTTTTGCAGCTCAAAGCATGCTATTGAGATCTTCCAAGAAAGGTTTTCTTCCTCATCCTCCAGTGCAGCTCTGCAGGCAGCACAGCAAGTCATACCCAGGAATCACTGAGCTATCACTCGCCTCAAGTGACCAGAGGTGAGGTGTGGATATGGCTTACTAAACACTCTGGAATGTCTGTACTATACTTACTCAGCTGAAATGAACCATGCTAAACAACCGGGTTACACTGAGTACGCAGAAATTCAATAGGAAGTCATGCCAAGTATTGGGCGAGTACATGTTATCTGATAAACACCAAATCAATCTATCGCTGAACGAAGAGACTTTCAGCAACACCCTTTGAACCACAGCCACTTAATGATCAGTTCATGCAAATATACTTTGGGCACATCAGTAAGCAGAAATATGTTCTTTCACCTTTCAAGCACATGGTATTTAATCAGGACACTAGAAGACTTTACATGCATTTTAATACAAATGATGTACAAATGTTGCTTTAGAACAATATTCTACCAGATGATGGAGAGAATAGTGGGGACAAAGCAATCACATACTGTATCTTAAATACACAGTTGAGCCGTTATATATTACCATTTTTCTATACTCATTTTTCATGATTCCAATAATATAACTAAATATTGACTGATTACAACATTCCTCCTTTCCAGTACTGGTCTGACCAACAGTCTCACAGGTAAAGTATTGACTCCCAGTACTACCTGAGGATTTATTATTGTACTTGTGAAAAGCCCTTGATGCAAGCTTGACAGAACACAAAATAGAAACAACTCCCACCCCCCAGTTTACCACCTTATTCACTGAAGGAAAAGAGCTACACTACAGACAGTTTTGCAAAAATAAATATGGAGTGGAAAGAGACTTACATAAGATACTCCATAGTGATGTCTGCATGAGAGTGGTGGTTAAGTGCTATAAATCTAGAAAGCATTTAAAGATAAAAAGAACTGATTATTAACACTGTTGCAAACCAGTTGTCATGGATTAGTTTCATTCACTACGCCTTTCAGTAGTGAATTGACTCTCGTCTTCTGCCCCATGACATCAGCAAAGAAGTCTTTGCTGCTGTTGTTTAAACAATAATAATTTGGTACTAACACGAGGAACAGCATTGGCAAAGACGGTTCAGTGCAGTGCAGGCTTCCAGTCATGGTTCCACCAGTGTGCCCCAACCCTCCTTTACAAGCTCTCTATGTTTTCACCAACTGAGTGGAACAACTCAGCTGCAGCACGGCACAGGACAAACCCACCCAGCTCACGTTAGGACAGCGACAACCCTGTCTGCAGAGGTGCAAGACTTACCCACCAACACCACCACGTCCCACCATCACTGAACAGCGCATCTTCAAGCCAAACTAAGCCAGTACTTTAAATCTTTGCTTTAAAAAAGCAGAACACGCAAATGCTTGCATCATAAGCCAGCTGATACATTCTCAGACCAACATGTCTTCTGTTGAGCTTTTTACTTCGTAAGGAAGCTGCCACAGCATTAATTGCTCTGGATTTCTTGAAACGCTTTCCTGCTCATTACTCGCACTGCCTCTGAGCACGTTACCTCACCAGCTGCTGGAGGAAGCATGCTATGCCTTATGAAGCAGATGTACAGATGTAGAGTGAAACTGCATTTTACATTCCAAATGATGAGGTTTAAGAACTGGTCCTTCTCAATGCCAACCGAACAGCTGCAAAATGCTGGTGGACATGTTTTGGTTGAATTTCGTTTCCCGTTTCTCTCCCTCTCCTCACCTTCTCCTAACCCAGAATATAAAAGTAAAAACAGCTTTACAAAGGATGGTGCAATGTAAATAGACATATGTGCAAGTAGAGTGCAACAAAAGTCAATGAGAAGATACACTTATTTCCAAAAAAAAAAAAAAAAAAAGAAAGAAAAAAAAGAGCTTGACATGTTGGGATACCCTGAGCAAATGCAGAAGCCTGTTTCTATAAACACATGTAAAACAGTAAGCTCTTTAAGAACAGTTATGCCAAGATTAAATATATCAATACCACAGGCACTGCCCACAACTCAGTCTTTAACAGATGAAGCAAGTTACAAAACAAAAAAAACACCCAACCACAACTGCCCCCCCCTCTCCCCCCTTCAAAAAGTTTACATTCTTCAGGTATGTGGGTTTATTTTTCTTTTTTTTGGGAACTCATCAATATAACTCATGTATTTGGTTACAACACTTGGAGAGTACAAGCAAGTTTCACTTGTGCCTAGTTTTTCTGAAACACGAAAGAAAAATAACTGGCTTTTTAAAAAAGGCTAAAAACAACAATGTGTTGTAATTCTATTATTTAGTTAAAAAAAAAGAAAAAGAAAAAAAAAAAAGAAAAACAGACTATTTGGCATTTTCTTTGCTTACTCCTGAATATTTTAAGGCCCTGAGATTAGAATATTATGTTCTTGGGACCACAGGGCTAGATAAAACCCTAGTGCATCAATTCTCTCTTAAGCCCTAACCAAAGTTCCGGCCTTGCAACCTAAGATCTATCTCCACTGAGACAAGGCTCCCATGCCTCAATTAGCTTTCTTTCACAGAAGCTTATTACAAACCGATCAAATCGTTGGTGTTTTCTGCAGGGTCACTCGTGCTGGCATGTCCATCAATGAAAACACACCCTGTAAAAAAGATAAGCCCCTGCTGTGAGGAAGGTGAACATGCATATATTCACTAGAAATGGCTTCCAAGTTGTCATCATATTCTCATCATCCTCTTCTAAGTTGTCCGACTTCATTGACTCTTCTTTGTGGGGCGAGAGGTGCTGATTTTCACCAACAGTTCTCCTCCGAATTTCAGTGTCTTGACTATTGCTAAAGGACAAAGAAATGAATATTCAGTACCGGATTTTGCATTTTGGAGAGAAGCCAGGCAGACTTGATTGAGAGCATGGCCTCACCCACTGAACATCACAAAGGTGGAAATCTCTTGCTATCACGAGCTGCAGCTGATGACACACCAAAGCCTGTCCCTAATGATTACGGTTCAGGCTGTTAAATTACACGTTTAGAACAGTCCTTGTCATCAAAAGCCACCCAGAAAGAAAGGATAGTAAACATCCAGTCTGCACCAGATGCTCAGATTACTTATGCATTCAATCCCCAGGGAAACTCTTGCTAGGTAACCATGCTTGGGGAGTATTCTGTGCCCTTTACAGAGCCAGGTGACTTAGCTTTAATCACCACCTACTTCCATTGCTCATCACAGATCTGCCACCTGCACAGCCAGAGACAAGAAACGAACTTGTACAAAGCCACATCCAGCTTCGGTGAACATTTCTATACAGTCCTAAGCCCAGGCACCCACTCAGAAAGTGAGAAAGGGGTGGAATTGTGAGTTGCTGCTGCAACTGTAACTTCGGAAGGGCGGCTACACACATTGTGATAGCTTTTAATGATGGAACTGATGATTTCTCCACCTTTTAACGTTATCTCTGGATACTAGACCTCCATCACGGTGACAGTATCCTGACACCCTAAGGAAGCTTCTAAACTGAGCAGGAGCTTTCAGATCTACGGTACAACTCCTATCTGAATTTAGAAAGCAGAGCACCGCCGTGCCGTGACAACCAGCAGGGTGGTGACCAGCAGGGAGATGCTTTGCATGGGGACTTCCTACACATCTGACAGCTCAAGTCCAGAAGGCAGCAATCCGCCGTCCCAGGCACCACGTACCTGTACCTGGGCAGGAAAAAAAAGCACACTTAAGACTGCTGCCTCTTCTTTGCTTGCTTCTGCCAGCACGTCTCCATTTCTTCCAGCCTCTCACTGTCTCATCCTTTCACACCGATCTGCTCCTTCCCCCTCCTGCCTGGCACATTTCACTTCCCTCATTTCTGAGCTCACTGCCCCAGGCACAAGGACAACAGCAGTCATCGAAAGGAGGCCTCATCTTGCAGCTGCAGCACTAGTGCGGGATGAAAGAGCTCAGGATTCAAACCCTGAGCTTTTCTAACATAAAAATACTGTGTACGATAGTGTGTAACTTAGCAGGGTAACAGGCAGATGCCCAGCCCAAACCAGCCTCTGCGATTAACGAGGAAGATGAGCAGTTCCAGAGGATGACTCAACTCCAGCCTCAGGCAAGTGTCTGTAATAAAATTAATCTAAGCCTCCGCTCTTCAGAACTGGACATCTCTTATGTTCATTTAGACTAAGCTGCACAGAGTCTTTCCAGGAAATCATTTATTCGCTGAAAAATCCAGATTTATATAGCAAATGACAAGATAACAGCTTTAGATCCATACTCCCCATTGGGCTCAAAAAGCATTAGCTGACGTCTCACATCCCAGCAAATATTCTGGTAACAGCACTGTGTTGTCACTGAGGGAAAAAAGAGGGAGGTGCTTCTGTTCTAATGTTTTTGTCTTTTGTAGCTAAGCCTCTATTCGTGCCCTATTCTATTCCCAAGTTTCCTTTCTTTTTAGTAAAGGTATTTGCAATTTGAGTATTTCATTTTCACAATCTCCCCTGCTGAATCAAAAAAAATAATAAAAAAATTCCTGATCTAAACATTGCATCATGTTAAGTGGGGAAAGGAGACACTTCCAATTTATCTCTTTGCCTACAGCACAATTTGGAGGGAGATAACAGGTTCAGCCTCTCTGCTGCACAGAATTAAGAGGAGGTTTATTTTGAAGGAAGACTACTGGAAACACGTCTCACTAATCTCCCGTTTCCAGAGTCACACACTCCCCCAATGGCCTAGCCAAATAAAATATATCAAGTCTGCCAGCTGCATCTGTTAAAAGGCCTTAGAGTTTTGTGGAGAATAAAAAAGTTTGATACTTTTATTCCAATATTCCTGTGAGAAGCTGAATAAGTCTTCTTAGGAGACCATCTAGTGGGGGAAAATTAAACTTCCCCTTGATTATCCCTGGTGGGATTTGCCTAGCTGTTTTTGTTTTTTAATTATTATTTTCTATATATTTTAAAGTGTTTATTCTTTGTTCTCTGGGGCGTTCAGTTGGTTGTTCTGAGTAAAACTAGTTACCATGCAGGATGCCAGCAACACCAAGGCATGCTGACTTTAATCAGCTGCATGCTACACTAATAAGGCAGGAGTGACATCTAGTGGTTACGCGTGTAGGAACCTTGGCTTCTCTGTTGTAGGTCAGTGACAGGTAGGAAAGTTCTGTGCTCATGAGCCCCTTCTCCTCCTTTCATCAAAAGTAGCTTTGCCTGTAATTACTTTCACGTTTCTAAGTGCAACTAAAGCTAGTCAGCCTAGCTTTGAGCTACATGACTAATACTGCCACTAACTAGTGAATGTGCTCCTCTGTAACTTAACACATACACCGCAAGTAAATTTAGACTAAACCACCCCGTTATGCCGTCACTTGTTCTTTAACTATAAGCAGGATCCCATAAATAGCCCTAGTTTATGGGTGAAGTTAACAAGAAAAAAAACATAAGGCCTTCACTGAAAAGGATCCACCACAGATTTTGTTTCAAAACTGCTATTACACTAACTCAATCAAGGGTGTTCTGGGCAGAACCTGCTGTACGAAATGCCATTTACGAGCAAGCTTCTTGTAACTTCTTAAAGCCACAAGGCAACTGGGCAGTCTTTTGGGGGCAGTTAGAGTGGGAAACTTAAGGAATTACCTGTCCGTGATCACTGGCACAGACTGAACAAGCTCTGCCATCTGGAACCATCTCTTCCACAGTGCTGACTGAGCAACTGATCTCTTCCTCTGCCACTTCATGCTTAGGGAAGAATTCTGCGTGTTCGTGCATCCTTCCATTGTGCATTTCTGAGGTTCGCTTTGGTGGTCTGGGAGGTGGTGGGGTGTGTTCTGGTGGTGGGTCCAGGTCTTCATTGGAGAGCTCTTTCCACTGTTCCTTCAGGAAAAAAACATCATGTGAAGTTTCCCATTATTTCTTTTACATAAACTACTCTAACAAGGCAGGCACTCTACAGTCTATTTCATTTATTTTTAGAGTGGCTGTTCATTTGCATCAATAAAAAGGAAAAAAAAAAGACACAAAAAACTCCAAACCTAAGCTATATCTAGTACATTGAAGACATCAGCTACGAATGCAAGAAATTTTAATCTATGTCTGGAAACTTTAAATAGCACAAAATAGAGCCTAGTTGATGGTTTTGCTTACCATAAAAGCAATATATAAGATTTAATCATAATACTTTTATACATTTTCTGGCATACTAGAAAAGTGTTCCCTTAGATGAAAGACAGCTGACGTACCCAGTCTACACCCCAGTAACAGTGCTGAAAAGCATGCACAGTGCTATCACACAACAGGACTACAGGTAGGTTTGTTTTTTTTTTTTTTCTGCTACAGTTAAAGAGTTGCAGCTCACCACATCTGGCTCTGCAGTCAGTACTCACTTGCACTGAAGCATCTCCCATAATGAATTTTGCTCCTTCAATAACAGCTAAGTAGGAGAAACGAAGCTGATCCGCTGTCTGTATAAGTCCCATTCTGTACTTCCTCATTTCTAGGAGAACTTGTTTGACATCCACAGAAGAAGGATCTTTCCGTTTGTCCATCTGAAGGTACAAAATGGGAAACATGCCTTAATGCTCTGATGAGATTCAATACAGTGACTCCTATACTACGGCCTTCAGACCATCCTCCATATTACAGAACTAATAAACTAATTAAAAAAACTGGTATCAGCTACTTATTTGGCTTCTGAAAAGAGAGAGATGGGATACTGGTTCCCCAAAATCTTCTTGTATGTTTTCCTTTTTTTTTTTCTTTTGTCTTTCTTGTTTTTGAAAATATAGTAAATAAAATAATTTTAAAAATGGGTATTCTGACCTAGGCCTAACTTCTGTGTATTAGTTGTTCTTGCACAGTTAATAATAATAAATTTATTAAGTTAAAATTAAAAGTTAATAGTAAAGCCA